GGTCCAGCAGTGACGGAACATGATGCAAATCAATATGTGTCGGTTTTGTGATACATTGTACAAGTGCACACTGAATAACGGTAGATAAAAGGTCGCTATCGAAACCACTACCTGGAGCTGTAAGCTCTATCCAGTTGATATGCGGTGCGTTGAAGTCCCCAATGATGAGACAACATTCTGCCATACTCCAAGAACAGATGTGTCTTAGGATAAAGTCGTCAGCCAGACAAGACGGACTACGGTATATTCCCCCTATAGTCACTAACCCATTTCTAGATTTAATCTTACAACATGCAACCTCACATGTGCCACTGATATGAGCCTCCGATATGGTTGATTGTATACGAAAGTGATCCCTAACGTAAAATATTATACCTCCCCCTTGCGACTTGAAACTCTATCACTTCTGATACAGATATAACCAGCAATGAAAGGAGAACAGTCTATATCAACGGTGAACCAAGTTTCTGTAACAACGATTATATCGGGACATAATTCTTGCACCATCAGACTTAGCTCGGACGTTTTATTTCTAAGACTACGAGCGTTCGTGTAGCACACACTTAAGGTGTTTTGGAAATCAATCGTTCTACCCATACAGGCCTCGGAAGCATTGGCTTCCAAGACCTGACTACCCGAAAACCCTTAATGGTAAGGTTATTTTCGCCATTTAATTTGCGAGTCCTCAACTCCGTAAGAGCATTCTTCCACTTGATTCGATCCTCAAGCGGCCAATCTGGTCGAATACGGATATTTGAGGCACGAGTTTTTAGTGCGCTTTTCAATAATATGTCTCTTTCTTCGAAACTCCCGAGAACCAGCTTCAGGATCCTTCTTGGTTGGGTCTCGCCTCCAACCCATTTACCAAGTCGTATTACTTTTGTAATATGTACCCCTGAAACCTCTTCAGGTAGTACATTCCTTACCACAGACTCCACTAACTGTAGGTCATGTGCGTGTCTTTTAGCAGGGTCGTTGTCTTTCGACTCCTCTAGATTCCAAATAATTAAACTAGGGATGGGTTTAGCTTCTTTTGAAACTGTGTTCACAGCTTTCGACCGTGACGTTAGATCCTGTATTTTAACTACTGGTAGCTTACGATTAGTTTTTATTTTAACAGAGTCCTGGGAGTCAAGCGAATGACTCACAACAATGTCAGACGAAGCTTTACTATGGGACTTTGGCGGATTGGTCTGAGAGTCCACCAAGGACTTACCAAGTAAACAGTCATTAGTTTTAGCTATCTTTCCTACTCTTCTGCGTTTTCGCGTCATCCATTTTCCATCAGTCGAAACGTCTACATTAGAACAACTCGGGACAGTAATTGTTTTATCTGGGTCACCGGTTGCTGCTGTAGCAATATGGCCACCAACGTCTAATGACGTGTCACTCACTGATCGTTTCGGGGGAGAACGTTTAACTGTGGGTTGCACAGGTAGATGTCTGGCTTGCGCCGTGATAGCACTTACGACACTAACGCAATCTTCGCCATCCGTACCAATGTTATCAGTACAGCCCTCATCAACCTTCTTATTAGCCAACACCAGGAGACTAATTGCTTCCTGGATAAGCAATGTTTTGCTCGAGCAACAAAAACTACAAAGCCAATGAGAGTTGGGCTTTGAACACCTTTTATATGCAGTGGGGCTTAATCGGGTGCACATCTTATGGAACCACTTATTACACTCATCACATTGCATCCCTTCATCCACGGGAAATAAGCAGTATGGTTGTCCACATTTATGAGTAGACCTAGCCATCTTGAAAATCAACTAGAACGGTGACAAAAACAGGATATGTAAAAGGATTTTCAAACCTTAACTAAATAAACCAAGTAAAAGTCGACCAAGTATGCTTCGATGCAATAAATACACAGAAGCAAAATCGAAAAACTCAATAAAATATCACTTTAACTGGGGTAGATGCAATTAAAGTGTAAACAGTAGTTTTGATGCGTAATTTACGATCAAAACAGTTAATTAACTCAACGAGAAATAATACCACTGTCCTTTTAAATAGAGCGCGTTAAGAAGTGTAATGTTTCCTTCAATGGTATTTTTGTCATAGTTGACGTAAAACTTCAAATTTATTACGAAGGGTGCAGATTGTCTAAAGTTTTTCATAAAAATGCATCAATTACGCTACATATAAAATGCCTCTTTTATTTTTATGATGTTATAAGATCGCAACAGTTCCGAACACAGTAATACATCTACACATCAGCAATATTTTATTCAACATTCTAGTATATTGTATTTTATGTAAATTATCAGGCATTTATATTTTTAAATCTGGGATTTTGTTTGCCTCCGCATTTGTTTTTCTTTTCTCCTAAAGTCAGAGCTGTAGGAATGTGGCACTTTTAAAAGTTCTACTAATTTTCGGTAAAGGTTCTTTTGCTGTTCAAGTTAGCCTTTTTACTATATGTCTACATTCTCTCGAACACTTTGTGTACGCGAGAGTAATTCTTTGAATGAATTAACAGTTCTCATTGATGAGTTTGCTTACCTCATGGCTCACTGATGTACGTACGTAATATATTACCGCTTATCTAATTGGTCATATATAACTGCTGCCAGTGGCCATTATGTCATTCGAATACTTAGTACTTGTATTGAATAATATCGCGCTACGTGATTTAGAGGTATTTCGAAGAAGCTTTAGTGCGCTGACACACTTATCAGCCAGATGACTTCCATTAGGATTTGCATGCGTAATTGCTTCTGCACCTAACAAGTTGTATGTACCCATAACGGTTGTTCTTCGTAATTATTCCTAAAATATGTCCAAATGAGTATATCGCTACGTGAATATTCAGTAGTCCAACCAATTCGTTCTAAAGCATTTCAGTAAGTGGTATTGCCTAAAGTAGCTTTGAGTTGGTATTTGTGTACAGTCTAGCATTTTGTGCCTTACTATTTGCTCGGGTTCCTTCGTCAGATAGAATGCGAAGTTTCAAGTTTCACTACTTGTGCTATTCTTGTTCAAGAATCTATGCGGTAGGGTCGTGTTTACTCAAGACCTGATATAAATATCTCCATTTATTTGACACTCGTCATTCTAGTTTTGTGAATCCTTTATTTACCTTAACTTCAGTCACTGGACCCGCCTGCTCGTCCAAAATGTTTCTGAAAGTCTATTGTAACTCAGTCGTCGTTTATCGATTCCAAAGCAAAATATGTATTCTGGTTATTTTAGTTTCTTTGCATTGTTCATGATATTTTTCAAAGCACTAAATAAGTGTGGAATTCTCATGAAAATATTTTTCGTCGTTGCTTACTTTCATTTGTGTGTGGCAAATGTTAATTTTATCTGACTGAAGCTCCGCATTTCGACTGTTGGAAACATTGGGAGTCGATAAATGTTTTACTGAAGCTTTTGTTAACTTTACTTAGGTCACCGATAAGTTTTAACAAATGTCAAACACAGTAGATGTTTTTCAACCAGCCTTTTAGAGACAGACATAAAGTAAGCTTCATACACAGCCAAATCATACAGGTTTCCCGTCTTTCAAACATAGTCAGTTATCTGCAGAAGTTAGATATTTTCATCTGTTTAGTCATTTAAGAGGTACTCTGTACCTAAATGATTGCTTCATTTAAAGTTAATAAATCAACTAATGCTTCTAGGCAGAAACTCCACCTCTCCGTATTTGTCTTATTTATTTAACTGTGTAAAATAATTTCACATAGGTTTGGTTCGTCTGTACATGTTCATTTTCTAGTATCATACTTGTCGGCTGTCGATTCTGTTCCAAATAGTCGTTTTATTTAGTGAAAGAGAAGGTCTAATAAAGTCTGTTAAAGTTTAAGCTTTGTTTGGAGTACATTGTCTTAACGACTTCCATAAGCTTCCACCATATTGATCGGCTATTCTGAACTGAACAGTTACCAAACTTCTCAAATTGATTGAGTTCCCCTAATATCTCGAAATTCATATATTTTGTTGGAGTTGCTGAGCAGTTTTGTCATTGATTAAAACCCACTTATTATAGTGGGAACAGCGTAGTTTCGTTCGGTATTGCCGATACAATCAATAACTTGCGATTCGAAACTCCATGGCTACTAAATTTAACTTACTTCGGACAAAATATCATTGTTTATGGCGGTAAACTTGTCTTAGTATACGAACAGTATTATTCAGTGTATGTGTTCAAGTATCCAACTTATTTAACGATTACACCGGTAAATTGTAACACAATTTGTCTTAGCATTATTTCTATGGAATCATTGTTCTGGAAATAAAACCTGGCACAATGTACCAAGCAAAGACAGGAGGATAATTACAACTTCAATAATATCTGTTGCTTACTCTATCTATGTGTTATAAACGTTTGTTCTGTATTTGAATTTAATTTTCCACCTGGAAGTCTAACTCACTAATGAAATCTTGTTGCGTGCTTCTTTCTAAAAAATCATTTGTGCTACTTATATTTTAACAGTAGATTGAGATTTAACCCTAAACGATCCTAACGTTTTAAGGTCATGTATAAATAATGAAGGATATCTTTCAGTTGCTCTTAAGGCGTCATGCTAGAATACAATTTCTGTCCCGTGAAATTAATTTGGCATATGTTAAGGATCTGAGTGAAATATAAAGCTTTTACTTATACGTGGGTTTTAGCTGAAACTGTTATTCATAAATTATACGCTGAGTTATGTATGAGGCATAAACTCTTTATAAAAAATATATGACTGTGGTTAATATATTTCCTCATTTTTATTTGTTTTCCAGTAAAATTTTGGCCTTTACACTCCGCTTTCTCTCAGTCAGCTACCATGGCAACAGACGAAGACTTATCATATTCTGACGATGCATTTGAAGGGGAAGACAAAGAAGATACAGATATGCTAAACTCAGCAGAAACTTACAACGACTACCATCAACAAATACTTTTTTATCGCAATTTTGACTCAGTTTCAGGACGAAGTCTTCAAAGACCTAAAGTAATCAAATGGAATCTCTTAATATGATTCGCTATTTCAGACAAGAAGAAGACGATGGACTCAGCGGGACATGACAAACGCGTACAACGCAGTCAAGTATCAGGGAATGTCGCTTCGTGGGCTGCGACAGCCTTTAATGTTCCCGAATCTACTCTTCGTGACAGAGTTCATGGAAGAGTCAGTTTAGAATGCTCTCGACCAGGACCCCCAACATTTTTCACCTATGAAGAGGAAAAGAAGATGGTGGATCATATCTTATTCATGAGTAAAATCGGTTACCCATATACCCGAAATCAAGTATGTATATTGATACACATTCTTATATTGTTAAATTTTTCATGCTGAACATGAACTAAGCTTAATTTTATTGATACTTAAGTAGCCTACGAGATCCCCATTTTCAATCAGTTATATGTGAGTGGACTTCTAACTATGTTTATTTTTACGTTGAAGTGTTTTATAAAGAAACAGGTAATTTTACTGAATAGAAAATCTGTTCTTCTGGCTCTTGGTCTTGTCTTTGATGGAAATTCATTCGATGGGTTGAATTAATAATCCTGTCTCGTGGTAACCATCAAACGGCCATATTGTATTGTTGCTTTCGTCTATCCATCGACATTCATGCATTCATTTTACTAATCCAAAGTCCACTCACCACTTATCACTGTTTCAAATCCATAACAGTTCGAGTTTTTCTTCTACTTTACTTCCACAATTATAATGGATTTTCTCTTTTTCCTTTAACTTCCTGTTGTGCCGATGTAAATTGTGGCGATTTTAACTGACAAACTTTCCTACCAATTTTTGCATTGTTAATGTCTAGCTGAACTCTTAAGAACCGAAACACCACAGCGCGTTTCTCTAATTTTCGCTCATTTGCCCCACCCGATAGTATAAAGAATGAATTGTAATAAGTCCTGCTGTAGCTAAACGTACATGGTTATATCAGTTGGTTACCTAAATGAATAAATATTGGTGGGGTGTTACACAACTGCACACTTTCACATGTCGTTGTGATAAAGCCATAACAATGATCATCTTTGGATTTTATACGTTATCAGCTCCAGTGGATTATTTTTGAAACTTGTGCTTGTACGTTTTCAACGCATTAGTTCGCATTAAGATTTATTTAAGTCAGAACTAGTATGTGTACATAGCTTTAGATTCTTTCCGTGTTTGGTTTGAAAACAAGAGAATTAACAATGGATGGACTTTTTATATACTTATTATGCTGTGAAAATTATAACGCACTAGGATGATCGAAACGATCAAGATCCACTAGGACACTGACAGTTTGTTGGGAAATCTGTGTCTTCAAAAACGATTGGTAATAAAGCTGTCATCTAAAATATTGGTTCATGTGTTACATATTATAACAAGCTTCTGTACTTATTAATAAACACTCTCAAAAGAAGTTAAGTTGATCTTTATTTTATGATAGTCTAGCTACAAATTGAATAGATTATTAGTATTTACCGTTTAATAAGTCAGATTGGTCTCAATAATTTAATGTCATCGCACATGCACTCATTTTTTCTTGTTGCATGTTATGCTCTGCGTATCCTTGGAGAGTTCTAGTACACAGGGATTTCAAGTAGGTAGATTATAAACGTTTAGTCAACTCAGTTTATTATCCCAAACCAGAAGTGGGGTTAAACAGGTTTACTAATTCCTCTTGTTATACCATAATTTTCTGAAAGAAACTACAGAATGAAGTGTTTGATAGGTAGGTGTGTAACCGTATTATGTAAGGAAATTTACCAACTTTGATGATTCTGACTACACCCTCCCATTACTCAGTAACACCTAAAATAATGGAGGACCTACTTCAGGTTTTTATCGGCACAATTCACACCAACACAGCGGCAGATTACCTCAATAAATACTAGGAAATGAAATGAAAATGGTATTGGTAGGTTCACTAGGCAAAATACAATTCAGAAGTTAGTGGATAGTGTCGAATAATTCTGTGTTCGAATTTCGGAAGATAATAAATTAATGCATTGCGCAACAACATTTACTCAAATTGTACTTAGCAATCGCCTTTAAGTATAGTACGTACTTGGAAAGCAAATTACTTTCAATGGCCGGTAGAAGCTTGTGACTATACTAGTGTTTTATGGTAAACTGTCTTAATAATTCGAAACCTTATGCCTCTGGATATTTTATTTTAATAGAAGTTTATAAGACAGAATTCCCTATGTTTTGAAACCAAGACGTGAGTAACTTCAACCATCTTCACAGATTTGCCAAGTTAATCTAACTACAAATGAGTTACTGCCTCATTGCATGTAATTTTGTTCTAATGCCTTGAGACACGAATTCCTTATGATAAAGATGTCAGACGGCCCTCGATATTTCAGTACTGATTTCCCCTAGTAATTCTTGAATTTAACTGCAGCACCGTAAAAAATGTTGAGGGTTTGTGATTTTTTAGTGTACTCTTGAGTCCGTTATTTAATTACTGAAGTTCTTTTTCGGACTGTGTAGTACAGTTTCCCAATAGTTTTCAAATGATGAACTGCTTAATAACATGTAACTGACATTAAAAGTTAAGAGCTGTTCGTTAATAACATCATACCTTGATGTAAAAATACTCGTGTGAATCTAGTATCTCTCAGCTCTTCACGTTTTTGGGCTAAGGTTACAAAAACCACAAAACTATGATATGAAGTTCCATCAAAATATATCAGAATCAAAATTAATGGTGCTCCTACTGTTGTATTCTTTTATCATCATGGAGTAACGGCTTGGCAACTGCAAGATCTATAATGGTTTCCTTATCTTGATTATTTTTAGTTACTTAACGTTATAATCAGTGTTCCTAATCTACAATATATTGGCGACATTTTAATTTCATCTATGTTAAAAGACCCGCTGCACCAAAATTCAGAATTCCAAAACTAACCTTGCTCGTACCCATCCGGCACTGCTTAACAAAGTATCGTAATAACTAACATCTATCGTACCTTCGATTTTCAGTTAAGATTTGTTGGGTTAGATCAGAACGTTGATTTCTTAATTTTTACCATTCTATTAAGCGATTCTAATCACGTTTATTGTTTCTCCATTAAGGTAGTCGAACTCGCTGGAGACATGACTAAAGCGGTCGGGCGGATCGCTCCATTTAAATACCTTAATCCAAGTCAGGCCTGGTTTTATGCTTTTCTTAATCGATGGCCAGACCTAAAGAATTTCTTGTTCGGACCTCGAAGTAATCGGAAATCTAAGGGAGTTTCAGGTGATTCTATACAGTCTTATTTTGAACAGCTCGAAAAGGTATGTTTGAAGATTTTTAAATCTCAAGTTATCATTCTGTTGTTGTCTACTATACAGTGCTGCTCAGCACTCAATATATTACCTGTGGTGCATTTGTTTGTAAATAGGCACTAACCCGGTTAGGCCATACCATATGACTTAACATCAACAATGAATCAGGCTTTGTGTAATCCACGCTACCTTGATATTTATAATCAAATATATCACCTGACTACTTACTCCGCCTCCCAATAATGTCTAAAATTTGGTATTAACGATTCCTCTTACGACCATAGTGTAATTATGCCCCCTGACGTTGCCAAACAAAATATGTTTTTCACATCACTTATCTAACTAGGAACATTTTTATGACAATTTTTAGAAAAGTCTGTTTCACTTAGAAAGACTTAAATGCCGATGATGGTTTATTAAAATCTATTCTCAAATACTACTTACCTTCAAAGCCTTATGGTCTATCAAAATATAAGTTATTATATAAAAAGTGTAAAATGTAATATGACTATTATATAAACCAACAATACATTTGTCAATATAATGTAAATTTTTTAATCAGCCAGCTTATTATTACGTTCTGATGATTTCGTTCATCTTGTTTTGCCAAGGCGGTATGGCGACATGAACCAACGCACATCTGTGGCAGGCACTGCGTTGATAATAAATGACTGACTCATCCTTTAAACATTTTCGCGTTTTCAATCTTCAAACTACTTCCCTCTAGCTCTTACAAGTTGATTGTATAAGATTAACAAACTACAGACAAATAAATCGTTTTCAGTGACAGATTTATCTCCCCCTTCAATTAATAAATTGAGTACTAATAACACCGTTACTGTTTGCACTCCATTACACTCAACCATCTTTTTAAATAATAAGTAATTCATTTTTATTAGATATTCCAAATAGTAATTTGGTGACAATTTCATCGTAAATATAAGTTATTCAGAAAGATGTGCTGTAAACTGAACATAACATGATTGTCGCTTTGATCTCTTTTCAAATTAAACAATAAACATCTTCCACCAATTCGATGATTCGATTGTCTTTTTGATAATTTTATAGGTTCTAAATAAATATGGTATCAAAGACAAGGCCGAACATTTTTGGATTGTTGACGAAGTAAGCATAAGCTGCGAGAACCAACCCCCACGTATTCTTCCCATCAGTATACAACGAGCTCAATCTGTTAGCTATTGGAATCCGACTGTTGCAATGCTTGGAGCTGCTAACGGTGTTGGTGAAAAAATCCCTCCTTTCCTTATTTATCGGGGTGATGGGATAACATGTAGGTATTTGTAAAAAGAAAGATCAGTTTTTGTGTATCATATGATGCAGGTTTTTTTCTTTCCAATCACTTTATAACCATTCAAAGTTCATAAGTTCATATTTTTTAAAGTAAGTATTTACTTCAAACATGTATTTGCATCCAATCGTTTCTTATTCGCTGTAGAATAAGTTAATTGATAACTTCCTAAAATTTTGTTATTTATTAAAACATTGCACTTTTAAGGTCATTGGTCAAGACACATAATATGTACATTCTTTAAGAAATATTTCCTGAACTTCAAAATCCATAAATTGTTTGACTAATTCAATATATCACTGTTGATATGTCTTACATAAATCAAACATCTAATCATTATGTTGTTCAAATAAGTGTTTGCTCTCATTGTATACAGCTACGACCGATTAGTTGTTAAATTCATATTTTCATTTTTAATCTGTTTGCTTTTATTCATTCAAAGTCGATTAGGCATCAAATTCATATAAAAACTCAATTTCAAATACATCCATGATATTAATTTCATTGTTAAAATCTGTTTATATTTTTGGTTAACGGAAACTGAAGCTTGGAATGGTTCTATGTAATAAACAATGAACTTTAATACTATCCTTACTAACGTTATCTTACTAAAAGCGGAATCAGAGAAATGAATCATCTTGTAGTGTCTCGAATCCGACCAACATTCAATCGACAATCAATTTTATCATCCCCCGACTAACTTTCTCGAAGTGTGTTCGACAGACATACTGGAATGTAATGGTTCTGTGTCTTATTTATTGAAGGATGATCAGCAAGTTGTTTGTCACAAAGTTGCAAAGTTAGCTTGAGTACAGTTACATGCAGAATAGTAGTATTTACAGAGCCTGCTTTGATTGTAAAGGAGTGCCACGAATGATTAAATCCCTCAAAAAACCGCCTATTCATTGTATTTTTTAAATCTTGTTTTTTATTAATTCGACCTTTCATTTTTTTACATCGAAATTCTTCACTTTTAAGGATGTTGCAAATGTCATACAAAATAGCTACTTGTGAAAACCATCATTTTCGGTCTCTCACAATACATATTCCACGATAGATTTGTCTCTTAGATTAGCTGTATCTAATTGGAGGTTAAGGAGAATGTAGTACTTGCTGTATCCGAACGGAGTTAATAGTTTCTCAGTATAAGCAAGTTGTATCACTAGGTTAATCGAAGCCAGACTTATTACTTGGGGGGACTCAGTCTATTAACCAGTGCTTACGATGTTATTTTGTAATGTCATGCATGCATAGTCAGTACGTAGACGTAAATTCACAGAACCGTTAGTTTACATTTCAAAAAGTCACTGATATATTTATAAACAGTGTTCATTGATTTATTTCTCGGTGAATTTACTTACTTTCAGTAATTGACTCCTGTTTGTAAGTGTCTAACATGTCTGATTATTCTTGTTACTTTCTAACAAATAAGTGACTTCTTAATTAAGTAGACTACCAAATTTTTATATTACTCGAACTTATCACGTGGAGCTGTATTTTTGAAATATTTAATTTTAATATCCAAGAATGAGTTGTCATAACAATTAATGTTTTATCTTTCAGCATCTATGATGGAAGGATCCGTACGAGGGACTAAATTTTCATTTTCAGCTTCCGGTTGGGTTAATTCTGATGCTTTTATTCAATGGTTTCTTAAACATTTTCGTGTATTAGTATCTGTTCGACCGCTTATATTATTTTACGACGGTCATTTACAATTTGTTAGTGTACGTGTCTTAGAACGCGCTCGTGAAGACGGCGTTTTCCTGTTTCCACTCCCTCCTCATCCAGCTTATAATCATTGCGTAGAAAATACATGTTTCTGGGCATTTCAGGTAAATCAATATTGCTGACATTATCGTCATTGTTAATAATACTAGCTAGTACTTTTCCATTTAATATATTATTGTTTCTTATCAAATATATTCAATTTAAGAGCATGAATCTTTTAGTGCTCTCAGATTTATTCTGTTCTGACCAATAAATAATCGGTCAACAGTATTAAACTTTTTATTGAATAAGAATATTTAGTACGTGATAAATGATAATATAGCTTATAGACTACACTATTGCGTGTATTTATAGATTTCCCATTAGAGTGTATTTTTGTCTTCTCTTAAAATCTTTCTGTAACTGGTTATGAAAGGTAAAATTTCCTCATCTGATGGTTCGCTATCTCATTGAAAATACCTACTGCCTAAAAGAACTTATACACACTTCGTTATATAAAATTTGAGGTACATCAATCCTATTCTCTCTAAAATAATCCCCACTTGTGGCAATACACTTGACTTATCTCCGTTTCTTTCTGTTAAAAAGTTTACTAGAAGTCCTCGAAAGTTAGGCACTTCAGCTACCTTGTCACTTCATGTTTCTCTGAATCTCAAATTTTTAACCAGAATTATGTGCACAAATTTTCCCAAATTCAATTAATTAACAATCAATGTGTTGTCTCTGTAAATAACTGGCGAAATTTTACGCATTCTAGAGTTTTTATTCTAAGTTCCATCGAAATTTTTTTGTTTAGTCTTGTATTTATTGGATATAAATATATTCCCAGTACGGGTACACCGCTGTTTCTTAAGAATTTAATTTCCTACTCACACTAAAATAAGAATTTACTAGAAAATTACGGATGTGCAACAGTGCTGAGAAGTTTTGTTGATTATCTATATTTCTCATAAACGTATGATAGATTTTTTCGTACTGACTTTCTATAATATGGGCTTAAAGTTGATAAGTAAAAATGCTATGAGATTATCTACAGTAGTTTTTCTGATAATGTAATCAGAAATTTGGCTTCTGTGTTAACCCATTTTTTTACATTTATTTTTCAAACCTAGTTTGTACATGTGCTGATTGATGAATGATTTCATTTTCATTTCATCACCACTATTATTATTATTATTATTATTATTATTATATTATTATTATTATTATTGTATAATTAGTCATAATAATTTGTAATACACTAACAGTTTAAGGCAAATATCATGTGACATATAACCTCTCTCGATTTTTCTCAGTAATTTAGAGAGATTTAAATAGTATATATCATCGTTCTTTTCTTTCGAAATAATGTCATGTTTTTTCTCACTCCCTTTCTCCACTTGATTTTGGAACATAGACAAAGTTAGTTACCTATTTACTTACTCCTGTTACTTCTCGCGGACCATAGGCCACTAACTAGGGATCTCTATCAACCCTATCTTGGGCTCTTTTCTCTATTTGTTGCTAATTTCTATTCACTTCATCCACTTCATTCTTTCTTTGGTCTGTTTCTTTTCGTTCCGCATTTTCAAGTTAGGGCTTGCTTTATTACACGATTTGTTGATTTTTCTAAAGTGTTTTTTCCTAATTTCCTCCTCAATCGTAAGCTAGTTTTTTCTCTGTCAGATAAGGTTATTGCTGATGGTCTTTGGCTAATCGATCTAGATTATCTTGGATAGACAGCTGTTTATAAATATCTGTAGTTTTTTGATGATGGTTGTGGTAGTTCTTCAGGCTCCGTGCAATAAAACTTTCAGACATATTGAATATCATTTCATACTTGCCAATTTGATCATCCATAGCAATTATGAAACAGTGGTCGAGTATATGTCACTAAGGGAGACATTAGTTGAATTTATGCAATATAAAATATGATAATTTGATGGAAAATATCTTAAGTATTTTTGGCTCATAATTAAAAATATCAAAGGAGTAATGTTGAATTTAGGCACAGTCCTGTGCTAAAAATATCATATCATAAAATTTAAACATCACATGACATGGTATATAATATGAAGAGTAGTAGTTAACTCAATCCATGTACTCACAGATTCTATCTTTAAAAAAGAATGTAAATCGCACAAATGAAAACATTTCTTACTACTGCTATATCCATGTTCCTTTTCAAATTACTGATGTTCCTTTTCATATTGGTTTACTGTAATATTTCATCCCTCTGGTTAGTTTTTCAGTGGATTTAAAAATGATGACTTCTGGCGTGTGGGTATAATACTTTTTACACTTTTTATTTGAAAAATTTTAAATGCGGTGTACTGTTTTTACGCACACTGAACAACTAGTAGTGATCAGTGTATATCAGAGTTTTTTAAGATTTACCGAACTATTCAGCTGATATATCCTTTCAATATTGTTATTTTGTTTGTTGTTTTTACTTTTCGTTGTACTGTACATTCGTTATGTATTATGTAAAGATATTATTTTTACAGTACTTTATATTAATGCTATTAATCACTTTAGTTTTTTTTCATACCCTTTGGTTTTCAATATTTACATTAATTTCATTACTGAAGGGTTATTTCAAAAAACGTTTGGATCGCTTTTTTGAACAAAATCCTAACCAACCACTTTTACGTAATAACGCTTCACCTATATTGACTCATGCTTATGAAAAGCTTTACAACCGAATAATATGATTAGTTTGTTTGAAAGATTGGGAATTTGCCCATTTAACAATTTATCCTCATCAATTGGCGCCTATTTGAACATGGTATGTTTTCATTAGTTATTTAAATGATTAGTCTTCATAAACTATAAGTGTATCTTAAAGAAAAAGATTAGTGTTTTTTAATGAAATATCTGCTCATTTTAGCGTTAACCAATGGAAATTAAGCTAGCTTTACTGATTTACTGTATCATATACTTAATCACTTGTACTACAAGGTAATAAGTAGAAATATAAACTTATTATTTTGGTATTCGATTGTATTTTGAGCAATTTACTTACCTTTGATTTTCTTTTTACAAGAGATAGTTATTATGACCAAGAAATGGTTATAACATAGATACTCAAATGTATATTTGTGTACATGTGTAATCTAAATTGAGATTTCTGGGGAACTCGTCTTTCTAAAACTTCTTATTTTATCTATTATCGCATCCTTGTACTATATAGTGATGATCAAAATATTTTAAGTTAGAGGCATGGTACTATAGCGATAACAAACTTTGCTTAATTGTTAGTTATATCTTAACGAGGAGAATATTGACGGACGGAACAACGTACTTCCGTGTTTCGTAAACTTTACTTTCAGTTTAGCTCAATGATATTTGATTAGTCAGTCTATTAAATGCTATTCGGCATAGGCCTTCAACCCTCACTGTTCAAGTATTGACTATCGGAATTCATTATTTCAATAAAAAGTGATCAAACTACAGAATCGAATCTATATGAAATACATAGTCTCGTTGAATTTTCAATCAATGCCACTTAAAGGTTGATACGATTTCCCGTGAATTTCATTAATATTTCGACCCGCCAAACCGTAATATGTTTAATTCTATTACCTCGAAGTCACCATAAAATAACGGAGGCTACTGATTAATTACCACATTACAAGGATGTAGTTTATGGTATCAAATGAATTCTTCCAGTCATAAACACCGTAGAACTTTTGGCAACATAATGATTACGCTAGAAAAAATAGAACTATGTTTAGTTTATTAGTGTTGGTCATCTTAAGGGAACCACTTTACCATGACTGAACGATTAGTTGTGTTTAGACAGTTAATTAATTGCTTCTGTTACTCTTCATGGAGATGCATAGACCGCTCAGCAGGGTTCTCCATCCAACTCTGCTATGGGCAATCCTTTCCAGTTGCTATTCATTCTTTTGATGCCTACTTCCGATTCCCGACACAAAGTGTTCCTTAGTCATCCTTAGTCAGTACATAGGTGTTTTGAATAATATGAACTATAGTGAACAACATACAGGGCGAACTAGATCGAAATTTTATCATTTTTTCGTAGTTGATACATCTGTTTGTTCATTTATTGGTTTTTATTTTATTGTTTAGCATTATCTTTCTGTTAAAATTGTATACATGTTTAATCTCACACATTTATTTGTCTTTATCTTGACGAATAACTGACAACTAGTTATGTGTGCCGTAATATACTTTCATATTTCACTGTAGCTAGGGTTTATAATTTCACATTTCGAGATATGAGTCAATCATTTTCTGTTTCTAATCTGTGAAATAGAAAATAGTTTTTCTCATTATTTCATCTTTTAAGCAGACAGAAGATTATGAACAAAATAGTTTGGCTGTAGAAAATGTGGATCCATATTTAGTTAATGAAATGGCGAATCCTTATAACCAGTGGTCTAAACTAGGATGTGCATCAAACTACCTCAATTATGTTAATCCAAATGGAGATTCAAAAGACCATGCAATCAATTCCTCGAATGATTCGCATCATCCAGTTGCAGCTGTCACTAAACTAGCTACGTATGTAACTGATAATACTGAAAGTAAGTATTATTTTTTGTACCAGTTTTTTTATTCTGCATGTTCTAACCTGTATAGGCGAACAAAACAAAAAAAATATGGTCATTCCGTCGAAGAAATTACAGAGACGATGCAAAATTCACCATTCTTAATAAAAATACATATGTTCTCGATATAAAGTGAAATTTTGGTTTAAAATTAGTAACTTTTTTGAAACATGGCTATGAGTTATGTCGATAATAATTTTAAAATCAACTGCTCTTACTACTCTAAGATTTTTATACTGCAACTTTATGTGCCTCCTCAAAACTCATACGAAGTAATGATTTATTAAACTATCTTGATAAAGATGTACTTCGACAATTTGCCAGTCATCTTCTACCTCATCTGTATTATTATTTCAAACAGATAGCCCATTACCACACATAGAAATAGACTTAGCGTTTCACCAGATTGCTTATGAGATGTTCTTCAAACGTATGATGCGTATCTCAATATTTTGCTTATGGCTGTCTTGTTGAATCATCGAGTATTTTCTGAGAATATTCCTACGTTTCTAAAGATAATAATAACAACCAGGTATCGATTGTCATCTCATTTGATGACGTTTAAGCACTTTACTTTTGTTCATTAGTTGAAATTCCGTGTACTTATAACTTGGTCGTTTTTACTGATATAACAAAAACTCTTATCTATGTATGGGATACTTAGTCTCTTGAATCAAATCAATGTACCAGGAATCGTTTCGGAAATCTACTTCATCTTAATAATGTAATAAAATTCGGTCTCGCTGTTAATACAAAAATCACATAACTCTCATTTTAGTGTTAATTATCCTACACGCTACTTTGAAACAATTGACAGTTGCTATATACCTTTGTAGCTTTCATGATGTTACTGATGTGACTTTTGTCATTACGATAAAAATTTAGGTATTTTGAAGGTAGTGTTTTAACTGATCAGCTAAGTTTTCTTTCGTGTATTCGTTTTTGGGGAAAATAACTTCATATTTTGCACTCGTTGCTGCCCCTTGCGTTGACACGTATTTTTTCGGTCTGTATTTTTCGACTTCATCTGCCTAATCAGTCTCTACCAGCAGTTCTTCAATATGCTTAGGTTCATTTAATCGAACTCTTCGCCTTATGAACTGTTATTGAAACAAATTAATATACTTTGTCATAATAATACACGATTTACTTACAACCCGAAAGTTCTTATCGTTGAATTACAGGTTTTTAACTATAATCTTCTTAACTTATTAAGAAACAATGAATTTTCTTACTATAAACCTTTAGTGATTTTAATTTCTTTCGTCATGTAAATAATAGCAAGATATATTCTTCGTTCATAATCATTATCCCGACATATCATATAGTGTTGATTGTTTCTTCTACCTTTAATTCACCATCACAATAAAATCACTTTGTAAAATGTAATTTCATCAAAAAAGCCCAGTGTTGACACATGTTATTTTCCAGACTACTCCATCAGAGGTAAACTCTGTTTTGCTCTGTCAGATCGCCCTCAGAGTGTACTTTATAGTACTTTAATTATTTATTGACTTGATGCTTTGTTCTGACTTGTGTCATCTCTAATTTGACGCATTATATATGTGAAGAGAAATCTATATTTGTTGTGGGTCGACTCTAATTATTGTAAATGGACTGACAATAAATGGAATATTTTTGTTGGACCCATAACTTTCCTGTACTGTATTATAGAATGAAAAACCCTACTTTTTATTATTTACACAGATCCCTTAACTTCCAATTCCACCGTGGTGAATTCCAAACCGACTGCAACTGTTCTTACTTCCCATGAAAACACATTTAAAACTCAGCATACTGTTTTAACACAGTTTTCTTCTTCAGGGCGATCAGTTACTATACGTTTGCATGGTCCTGCAGCAAATGCTATTCAACCTGTTTCTTTGCATGTAAGTGAAGTATTATTGAATATTAATTGTATTGATTGTCAAATATTATTCTTACACTGATACGTGCATTGGAAAAAAACAGTCTAAACTTTCACAAATTAGTTATTTTCCCCGACAGTAATTGACTAATAATATGTGCTTTTGTCCAAGTAACTTTATACCTAGTAGATGATGCGTGTCTCAGTAATTTAAACTCTAGTCTTTCTGCTAAAAAGGTACGATTCTTCACCTTATTTTACATTCTTCAGTTAGTTAGTGTCTGTAACTCCTTACATAAATGTGACTCACAATCATGTAAATAAGGTCTACCGCTGTGTTTTTTTATTGTTTTACCTAATGAGTATCAATTCATATATTCCATACCATGCAGCGACCAGATCTCAGATCTTAATTTTCAATTCCAAAACATTTATATAATATGCATAATTGTCGCGTTTTAGTACTCTTATATTTGTTTGAGATAATGAAGTATTAATAATATTTTGTCAATACTTTAGGAAGAATTTTCATTACATCAGACCAAAGATCCTCCGTCATTTGACGTTTTAGCTAGTTCAGATGTGGATATTTCGCATGAAGAAGAAGTTGACTGTGAAGTTTCTAATTCTCAATTAATACAAAGTGAAACATCCGGTCACACTAGTCAGTATTTCCAGGTATCTGAAACAGAAAGTGGTCATGGTCCCGTGAACGGTGGAGTTATTGAAAGTATTGATGGAGTGGAAGATGGTGAAGCACTCGACTTTTGTGTTGTTTGTGGTCAGTTAGAACCTCCAGAGTTATCTTGTCAACCAATTTCTGATCAGGCTAATGCTGATGATTTGCAGGTAACAGATATATAAGTTACACCTTTGAAATACAATAGGCAAAATAGTATTTTGAAGTAAAATGATCGTTTAGGTACTGTTAGTCCATTTTACAGAATATTAGTTTCCATGATTCTAATTCCTATCATCGATAAAAGTTTATGTATGTTTATGATAAGTCTTGTCGATCGAACGCTATATTCGTTTTCCTAAGCTATTCTGGTAACCCTCAGTCCAGATCTACACAGCGACTTGAACACCAGAGAGAAGACACAAGTATGAGAGAAAATACTTTATCCCAAGGCTCATTCTTGTACAGAAAATCATAGGTATTTATAGATGTTGGCGTCTGTTAAATCAACATCATATTTCAGCCAATCCTTTAACGACATATTATGCTACCGACAAATAGTAGCACACCACGTTGGAATTCTAGAACGTTCCATCATACTCTGATTAGCTAGGACCCTTCGGCTCCTTTTGGGCCTCTGGAGGCTCCGTTGAAGTTCTCCGGAAGCCGACCCAACAGTTTATAACTTATATTAATAGTCACGGTAGTTATCTTAATCCATTAGTAATTTTCTATTCCACTGGGATCGTTCAATAATTTCTCATCGGTAATAACCGTGATGAAAATTTAACTCGCTTAGTTACTTTTTCAACTTATTCTAAAATGTTGGTTGTAACAACATTCATTTGGTTTCTTACAAGATACTTCAAACTAAATTTATCAAAAATGAACTATTAACTTTTCTTCGTGCACTTTTAACACGACAGTTAACTTTAAGATCAACATAGAAAGCAACGGATACTTTATTAAAACTGAATAATCTTTTGAGAAATATACTCTGTGAATAAATCTAATGTTATAATACAGAAAAAACGTCAATTCTTTCAACGTCGTGGTATTTCACTTAATAATATCTGTCGTCAGATTAGCTAGATCAGCTTTAGAATTCCAATAAGTAGTTATTGTTAAAACTAAACATTATTATTTGTGATTGTGTTTTTTTCATACCAAAAAAGAAAATTTGCGAACCTTAACAAAATTAATTGTAATCAAACGTTGTATATCTAATCGACAACCTGATACAGATAGTTAGTCCAAACATTTAATATCTTGTAGATAGATATATTCCTATTACTTATCTTATGTAATTTACTTTTCAGTCTGAGTGACCTACTGTTTAACCCATATGCATAGCAACTAATTGACGATCACTCCAATATATGTTTTTGTAATCTCTCAATTTACTGTTCTGGTCATGTTTCAATCACCTTGAATTATATACTTATCCAATTTTATTCTAACGTTTTTCCCCTGCCGCTTATTTAGGTTATTGATTGGGCACATTGTGATTATTGTAACCGTTGGGTGCATCTTAATGGCTGTTGTAGTGAGGGTGCTGTAATAGGAAATAATTCATTTATGTGTGTTGTTTGTCGGAACGATAGTACAACAACGGTGGGAAGTGTAAAAACTCTTCAACAAGAAATAGTGCTGACCAAAACTGACAGTGGGGAGCAAGAACAATCGATGGATGTTAAAGTTTAGATGTACAAAAATATTGTTTTTATTCTCTTTTTATTGTCTTCCATTGAGGTAATTGTGTATCATGTACATAGAGACTGATACAAAATATTTTTGTAACGAACCAGGAAGTTTTTACATTCCAAGTTGTATTTTTGTTTAGTTTCATTGCACAAGTTGCTTATGTTCAGTTTGTTTTTATTCTTTACATGAGATAAACCTCATGAAAACCTTTTATACTATACTATATAACTGGCAAATTAACTGTTGTTTAAAGCTTTCGTGCCCAGTAAACAATTCGTTTGTATGTTTGTAGAAATATTTTTATCATCCTTTGAACACAAAGTTGAGTTTACCCTCTAATTCACGTAATAGTTTATGTTCATTGTGTAAATGGTCCTCTTAATAATCTACTTCTTATCCATTGCCTTTCCCTCCAACTGTGGCTGTGCCAATCGAATTTGTAGATAGATAAAATTGTGATTTTCTTATTAGAAAATATAATATTAAGTGCTGACAGTTGTTTATAAATATTTCTTATTTCTTGCGTTTAATATGTTTTAAAATGCAAATTGTACTTTACTATTTCTTTAAAGACCTATTCAGTTTACATGGTAAGGAAGCGAATGGGGAGGATTGGTTCTTGTATATTTTACAAGTTTTTAAGTACAATATATGTATATTAGGTTATCTCCTGAGTATTACTAACAAGTGTTTTAAATAGTAATGTGTAGATAGAATTGGTTCCCTTCGTTGCTGTATAATGAATGTCTACGTTTGTGTACAATAGGTATTTGAACTCTAAAAATAGGCTTCCTTGATAATAGTAGAGTTCTTTTCGTATTCTAAACACACTGGCTTGATATCTAGTGAGTGCTTTTACGAAAAATAATATGTTTAAATGGTGATTGCATGCATTGGAAGTGGATAAGACATATATTACTTCTAGACTTTCCTCCGGTTTGTTATTGAGGCATGGTTGATCGATCCGTTCGTAGTTTGCGATCGATTTGGGTCGATATTTTCACTGAATGTCAGGGAGGATGTTTTCTGTACAACGCAACAGTTATTTATTGATAGTCGTTTTTACAGTCTTTGTCATACTTCAGAGTTTCGTTTGTGGTAATTCTAGCCATGAGGTAATCAACTTAGCGAAACCTAATTATATTAAATGCATAGTTTATTGTCAAAGGTGTATAACGTTTTAATACCTAGTCATTCAAAATCTGGCTTTCCAATATAATGAATGGCTTGACTCTGTTTACAAGTACTTTCATCACTTTGTAGAGCGTGATCGCTATTCGGAATAGTCATTCTACTTTCGAGATGACGTCCGATTATTGCACATCTATCACACCATACCTCTGCCTTGTGATTAACCATGTACCTAACACTGATAAGTGTTGGTGGGTCACACTAATTAGCTTCACCTCAAGATTTCCTTTAAATCTAAGAGTGAAATCTTTGCATAAATTATTTTATCTCAAGATATCGAAATCCGTATGTCAAGTGCCTTCGTGATAAACACCAATTATTGAAGCACTAATAATTTTAGGAGCAATAATACAGTCAAAAATAGGCCACAATAGTTTATTTGAACTCTTATACAGAGCCAGCTCATCCACATTCATCTACAAAGTTGTGCAAACAAAATTGAATGCGGAAAAGGCTATTTAAACCAAACAACTGAGTGAGTGCAAACTAACGTGTTGTATTTAGAATTTAAAATCAGGCAGATATAAAGTGTAAAAGAACCACACGTCCTTACAAAGACCACATTTTCTTTTTTGCACAGATTGAGTGTAAAGTTGATAAATATAATACATTGCTTCTGTGAAGGTCAACAACCTACTAATCAGGCAATATGACATGAAAATAAAAAGCCAACTACGAGTAGTATTAAGGGTTTTTATATTTATTATATTCGTGCAAGCAGGCAAACTGAGTGATCGAATGTGGAAATTGAATAACTGCAGACAAAAATATCTGTAGTAGACCACCACAGTGAGTAATGGGTGATATAGCTTTTGTGCAAAGTTAACAATATATGAATCATGGGTAACTGGGAAGCTTATAGACGACATATATGGCTAAAAACCATCAATAATGAGCGCATATACAGGAACACACAAGTAGCGTCATACTCAAATGTAGATAGACATCCGTCCGCCTAAGATAATAAATACCGTTACAATTAAAATTCATAGGTCACAATAATGTTTGTATAAGTATGTAGGACTATTTCACGACACTGTTATACATTAATCAAATGTCTATCAAAAGAGTGATTCAGGATTATTGCAAGTTGTTATTATTATTATTATCATCATAGGCTTCATAACCCGTATAAGTAGCCTCCATAAGTTGAAAAAATCATCACCGAAGATTTAGCAAAAACCACTAATGCTCATGACAGAGAAAAACGTTTAGGTAATCCTGGAATTCTTTACTCAGAAATAATATGAAACAGAATATTATTGTATATTGAAATGTAGATTTCAGCGGTTAGTAAGAGTTGCCGGTATACTGCGATTTTGTGCACTTTTGGTTCTGTGCACATATGTTTGAAGTTTACTGTAAAGAGACGTGTAGTCCTTATGTATTTGTTAAGCTAAGCAGAAATTTTGTAAAGTCATAAGTAACGATCAAACGTCTGTTTCTTCAGATTGTCGTTAGTACCTTTTCGGTGATGGTTGTAGTTCTCTACGTTTGAGCTCCGTATAGTAGAACTGTCTTGTTTTAAAGATTCTGACTCTGTTGTTTAACAGTTTTAAGTCCCATATATTCCTCAATTGTAGGAATGCTACCTTAGCTTCGACGATGCTTTCCTTTACAGCCACATCAGATCCTTCTCGTTTATCTATTATATAATAGCATATTATATAACAGCATATGGTGCCGAGGTGCGTAATAGTTCCCACCTCTTCTAGGGTTTCTCCACCAAGTGTGATTGGTTTGTTGTCCTTTGTGTTATATTTTAGGATCTTGCTTCTTCTCTTGTGTTTGTGGAGGTATACTGATACAGAAGTTCCTGTTACACTGGTTGTCTTCATCCACATTTGTTGGTGTGCATGTTCAGAAGGGCCAGGTCATCTGCGAGGTCCAAATCGTCCAGCTGCATCCTAGCTGTCCATCATATTCTGTGACACTGGTCCTCACTCAGACTGCATCCGTGAACTGTCCTTCACTCACGACTTTACAGTGTAGTCCGTCATATAAATTCCTTATGATGCTGAAGATCTCAGGTACTCCATAATGTCAAAGGAGGCTCCATAAGGTACTATCTACTCTGTCAAATGCTTTCTCATTGTCGAGGGAATTGATGTGTAATGATAAGTTCTATTCAGTTTATTGTTTAACAATGATCCTAATTGACGCGGTCTGGTCTGTGCACGACTGATCTTTACGGGGTCCAGCATGCTGATCTTGAAGTTGGGCGTCTACTGGGTCCTTCATCCGGTTTAATAGCACTCTTGAGAGCGTTTTCCAGTATCGATAGTAATGTGATGCCTCTGTAGTCCTCACATTTTTTGAGACTCCTTTTTACTATTGACTATTAAGTTACTTAAACACATAAACGTAGGTACAAGGAGGCACCAGATGTATATGCGCCATACTTTCGATTTGTATGAGGGCTGGAATACTGTCCGGGTGCCCAAACTAAAACATGGTTTTTTGGAGGGTTACTCTTTGAGCCTTTAACCTAGAGGTCCTCTACATCTGCCAGTTCACTTACAGCGCCATACATTCGCCTTTCATCCACTCTGTGTTGTAAAGAACACCGCCGCTAAAGAGTGGTGATTGGGTTTTCCCTGGCAGCGGCTGTATACTCCTAGCCATATGAGAGCGTTCCGGGAGAACAGGCTGTAAGCGACTATCGCCCCTTCTTGGTCTGTGATAAGATATCTTTCTTCCCAGTCTGTTGGCACTTGTTCCCAGATTTTTTGGAATAAAATATGGAGCATATTTGCAAATACCCCTATGTCTGATTCCAGTGCTTCACCCAGTATGTTGTCTAGTCCTGTTGCTTACCCACTCTTGATTTGTCTGATGGCATCCTGACTTCGTCGATCGTTGGTGGAGTGACATATATAGGAAGGTCTGTGTGTGCCGCGTCTATATCCGGTAGGTTCAGTTGAGCCAGTCTATTCGAGAGTTCTTCAAAATGTTCTGCCCATCTGTTCCACTGTTTTTGAGTCTCAGTGATTAACGTGCTTGTTTGTTCTTGATTATTCGCTCTGGTTTGATATATTTCCCAGGCAGTTTCCTCGTTGTACTATATAGTTGTCTGATATTTCCTCTTGGAGCTTTTTCTGCTGTCAATCCTAGGTCTTCCACATATTTCCGCTTGTCAGCTCTAATACTCCTCTTCACTTGCTTGTCTGCTTCAGTATATTCAGCTTGTTTCTTGGCTTCTGTTCTCGTTCGACTGTCGTTAATTGCTGTCCTGTTCTTCCTTTCTTGAATTCATGCCCAGGGCGTCGATAAAGAATTATTTTTTGTGATGGTGTTTCTTGCGACTCAGAGACTCCTGGCACGTTGAAGTTAGTGCTTCTTTGATCCCTTTCTAGTTATTATCCATACTATATTCCTCTTCTCTGTGTAGATCTTGTGAGTCTTGAAACCTGTTGCTATGACCTGTTTTAAATTGGTCGAGTTCGCCAGTATATCGAAGATAGGTTATATTAAACCTTTATGATCCTGTTTCTCCAATTGTTGATTGCTTCCTTAGCTTCAGTTTCATCTAAGCAACTACAAGGTAGTGACTTAAAGCTATTCCACCTCTTCTCTGTGTTCTCTCATCTTCCGTGGTTCCCTCAAACTTTTTGTCAATGCAAATACATTCGATTCGGCTCTCTGTTATATGATCCGATGAGACCTATGCAGCTTTACGTATGTGTTTGTGGGGGAATATAATGCCACCATTATTCATTTTATTGAAGACGCATGAATCCGTAAATCTCTCATCATTTCCATTTCCTCCCAGTCTATATCGTCCCATGATGTCTTCATACCTGATTTTGTCTATTCCGACTTTGGCGTTTAGGTGTCTGATCAGTATGATGAGATATATTTCTTGGCAGTTCACTTCGTTTAACTGCAGCTCCTCATAGAACTGATTTTCATCGTTTTCACTGCTATCATTGGTGGATGCATAACACTGAATAACATTCATTGTAATCACCTTTGCTCTGAAGGATGCTTAGATGATCCTGGATCCATGAAATTCCCACCCAGTAAGTGCATTTCGTGCTTATTTAGACAGCATCAGTTCAACTCCCTGTGTTTGCGAAGCATTTTCTTTATGACTTATAGTACGACAGCACCTCTGCCGAAGATGATCTTTTCTGTCCACCTGGATTCCAATGGGTTTGACTTAGTCCGAGCACCGTCAAGTTGTATATCCTCATTTCCATAGCTATTTGATTGGTCCTCCCGCTCTTCCACATTATGCTGATATTACATGTACCTTTGTACACTTTTTCTCTGGTTGTTTGAAAAGACACCAGCTCGTGGTGTGGTCTCCTAAGAAAACCACCTGCTTCGGTTTGGGCATCCGGGTAGTATCACAGCCCACACACAAATATAATGAAAATGATGATATTTACTGAAAACTCTATTCTCGCTTCGATTTACAGTCAAACATTTTTTAGTGTGGCTCATATATATTTGGTGCCCTCTTGTACCAATATTTATGTGTCCAAATAAATAAATAAGATAAAAATATTTTTAGAATACGAAAGAAACAACGGATATTAAGCATTTTAGCGTTTGTATACAAATTACCTTGAAACTCAACTTCTTAGCTAGACATGACAGTTAAAGCTTTGTTCGTCTTATTCATTTTTTGTGTTAATTCCTCGGGTAATCTCTAAGATTTTTTAAAGTTGTTCTTAGTGGGCCTATAGGTGAAAGTTATTTAAATACTCTGCAAGCATCCATATTCTATTTTAGTGTGTGTGACTGTTTTTTATTCACAGGTATTAATGCTTTCTGTTGTTTCTAAAATTGTATGGAAAGTACTGTCAGCTGGAAACGTGTATCCGTCAAAGTATTTTATATCCACTTCTATCGGTTTACATAAAAAACCTGGATTGTCAAATCATAAAGGATTTGCGATAATATCTAGAGTTACTGGTCAAAAAGAAGATCTTTGGAAGTTGTACAACGAGGTGGTTTATCCTCCTGTACCTAAAGTTTCAAGCTCAGCTCTTTGGGATACTAGCATACGACCAGGTGAAGTTACTCATCGTCGAGATGATATTTTATACAGCAGCAAAAGACTGTGGATGCTAGTCCACTTGGTATGTCAACAGACTTGTTAATTATATTTATATGCATCTGATTTTATCTAATCATTTGAATTTATCCTTTTCTAGATATTATATGCGGATGAATAATATTAAAAATATCTGGAAATATAATTGTAAACCTTTATTCTGTTTATATCCTTTTGAAAAACTATCAAATATGCTTTTAATTCTTTGTGTTGGTTATCTGTGTTAAATGGGAACTGTAAAATCTGAATCTTTAATTCACCAAAGTATCGATTCTTAACTGTTCGTCAATTTTAGCTAGTTGAATTGCTTTCATTAAATGAATGTTTATCGAGTCAGTTTCTTAAGAGTAAAATTTTTTCGTTTTATAACAGGCTTTATAGAGTACTATCAAGCAAGTTAACATGTAATATAAATGACATTACACCACTTAGATTACATGGATAGTTTCAGTCGTTTTTGATAGCTATTCGCAAGACGGATCTGAAAAATCATGCATGATTAAAATGACTAGTTTATTTTATGAGTTGTTTAAAACCGATTTAAAGCAGTGGAAATTTCTCTTGAAATATATGACTGAATAGATTGAATGTGGCTAGTCTCTCAATATGTCAATAAAAACTAGTTCCGAAATAAATTCACCACAGGATAGTTGAAAATATATCCTTAACTCAAAATCTTGATAAGTAACAACCAACTTTGATTAGAAGGGATAGAATCAGCTGAGAACACACAATTCAATAAACTTGAATAATGTGTATATAATCATCTACATTCCACTTAAACGGTACCATCAAACTGTTTGTTTCCTTTTAAATTGTTAATACAGATTCGTGGACGATCTGTAGATGATGCTTTCGCACAATTAGGATTTCGTACTGAAAAAGGAGCTAGAATCCTTGAAGAGGTAAGAGAGTTTCATAACTTGATGCTATTTACTTAAGTAAATCTCTAAATTATCCGATATCAATAAACTTCATTACTAAAGTTTCTTGTAGTTCATGTACGTGGTCGGACTAGTAGTCTCAGATGGGCTATTTAGTTATTATCAACTACTAAGATGTATCCACAAGTTAGATCATATCATCTATACAAGACACCTGTATCTTCATAGACGATAGTGCTTCATTTTTGTAGATCAAGAGTGCAAAATTCTAGATTTCAATTAAAAACTAATGTTTGTTAAATAATGAATAGCCACTGTAACCAGCTTTGTTGATATCTTTGCTGAATAGTTTGGCTGACTTGTGCTTGGGACTCAAATCCTGGATCCGACGACGCGTAGTGAGGACAAAAAGACCGCCTACATGTATTTGATTGACTCTGTAATAAAATCAAAATGGCACATGAATGCACTCATTTATATATTAATTTTGCTCACACTTAGTGATTAGTCGACAATTATTACACATAAGGGAAATTACAAAATTACAATGAAAATCTAAGCTATGAATTTCAGTAGACAATTCTGCTGGGATCACCGGGTAAGTAATAGTGAGGTTAGACATAGGGCATTAGGGAATGATGGTAAATCAGTTGATGAGGTTGTTAATCTTCGTCGAATGCGATGGTTGGGCTATGTGTTACGTATACCTGAACACCGATTACCACGACGCGCAAAACTGACTAGTGTTGGGGATGGTTGGAGGAAAGTCAGGGGCAGCCAAACCAAAACATGGCATCAGTGCTTGAAGTCACTAACTTCTAGTCTTAGCCATGTTGGTAGATTCAGACTACTTTGTTGGGGTCTGCGTGACTGTCGTAATCAATGGTTGGAGACTCTGAGTGACATGGCTCAAAGTCGATCACAATGGCGTCGGTGTATACACTCTCTGTCTTCCTTTAAACTATGAGATTAAAATCGCTTCATATCTTTCTTTCTACGAACTAATTTTTCCTTCCCGTACTATGTCATTATATGCAATCTTTCTTTTATATATTACCACCACTGAATTAACTACTTATATGAATCCGGTGTTCATATTGTGTTAATGAGGTATGGCAACTTAGACCGATGCGCATATGTGCCCGGTCCTACATTATAGCTGACTGACTGAGAAAATTCTGTGTTACACGAAACAATGCGAATTGATGTAAATCTAACTTAGCACCAGTACTCATTAAATTTCAGGTTCATTCAACTATAAAGTTGCCATCTAGAACATATGACTGCAGCAATTACATTTGTTTTTTTTATTACTTGTGACCGCTAATTAGGAGGGAGCGGTGAATTATCGATCGGACCAACGACGTGTAAAACACGTGCGAACAGCCTAGAGTTCTGATTGGCCCTGCTCCCTGCCTAGCCCAGCCAGTTAAGTCCAGAACACCAATCCGAGCCTTTTCGATATGAATCATTATATTCCGAACATTTGTACAAGAACTAGCCAGATGTGGGTGTGAATGAGGGAGGTAGTGACTAATAGACAGGGAATAATTCGAGAATGGAAAATCGTATAATAACAGTTTATAGGTTAACATAAAGCCTATGATAAGAGAGACATGAATATGAATAGTTTAGTTTATTAACAATTATATGGTAAAAATATACGTATAGTATTGGTCCACAAATGGATCCCGAAAATTACCACTCATTATTCTTATCGGGTATAACAGTTTTTCGCATTCACTTGTAGGAAAATATGTGCCAACAAAAAATATACTTTTATTATTCATAATTACAAAAGGTATTACGCTATGATTTATACGGATAGGTTTTCTTCAGAAATAAGTTTTCATTTTATGTTAAATGTATACCCTCTAGTAACTGTCTTCAATAAAGGTTTCCTAGTTTGAAGTCGTAATATGAAGAGTCGGTCATTTCAGGTTTTAGACGATAACCCACCGTCAACATTGTGTGGGAATAATTATAAACCAAAATTTGAAGTTGAAAATGTAAACTTTTTAGTCCTAGTTCACTAGTCTACAGCTATCGTGCTTACCGCTTCGTGAAAGTTCACCTAAGATAAGTCTTATGCTAAAATAAAACAAAGTTCCCTAGTGGCCCTTTTCTTTCAATTTTTTTCTAAGTGACGTCACTCGGTCATCTACAACGTAGTGAAGTGAAAAAAACACTCAAGTGAGGAAGATTAGTTTATTATTTAATGCACAATCACACTGTAGTTTAGTAATATGTGAAAATCATACGTCAAATACATCATTCGCACATCTTTGAATTGTCTCTTACAAGCTTCGTTGTTCCTTTATTCCTGTTGTTATCTCTCTTCTCTTCATTTCCATCTTCTCAACTTTCTGCTTTCAGACATTCCACTTACGACTGGTGTTACATACTACTTATATCTGCAAGCATAAATAGCACACACCACAGTATGACCGGGCACATATATGCATCGGTCTACGTTGCCATACCTCATTAGCACAACAAAATGAACACTAAATTCATAGAAGCAGTTACTTCAATGGTAGTAATATATATATATATATATATATATATATATATATATATATATATATATATATATATATATATATATATATATATATATATATATATATATATATATATATATATATATATATAAAGTAATTCTAATCTAACGGTTTACGGGAAGGCAAAGTGTCTATGCGCCTACGCCATTGTGGTCGATTCTAATCCATGTCACCCACAGTCTCAAACCACTGGTTACTATAGTCACGCGGACCTCAACCAAGTAGTCTGCATCTACCAACATGGCTCAGACCAGAAGTTAGTGACCTTGTGGACTGATGCCATGTTTTGGTTTGGTCAGCCCTAACTTTCTTCCAGCTGTCTCCAGTGCGTGAAAGTTAACTTTCAAATTCTAATTAATATGTGCGATACTGTAGTGTCAGTTATTATATTAAGCCCATATACCTTACTCTAGCTTTCGGACATCCCATCCTATTCATTCTACTTGAGTCATATTTTGACCTTGTTATTTATTTGCTTATCCATCTAGACTGTTTCTATGTATGCGTATATGTGTGTGTCATTCTTATTCCATTAATCACATGTCGGTAGCTTTATTTTGTCTGACTATAAATATTGAGTAACGCTTGACTAAAATGGAGTTGGCTTCCCAGCCATCTTCCCTGCGCGTCATTTTGCTCTGTTCTATTACATTCACTTTACATACAAAATATATGTATTCAAAGCCATTCTCGTTGATTGACTTATCTAAATTCCGTTATTGACTAACGTGAGTTAAGTCGATGATTGTATACGAGGATAGGTGATAACAATCATTCGTACACTCTAAATGGAGTCAGATCAACGGGCCACAAAAATACCACGTCTTTTAACTCCTGGTTCAGCTGATAGTGTTCAGCTAGGATTAAGTACTTTCTATTTGTACATATATGAACAGGTCACTTCATTCTCACCATTTTTGATTCATATTTTTCGTATATATTACAGTTTCTCATAAAATGAGAAGGTTTTACTTCTCGTCCTCATCTTGTATACTTATTTAAGCTACGTGCAACTCAGTGTATCGATAACACAAAAACTAATCTCAAAATTCACAACCTCTGATAAATTTATTTCATTGATTAAAAGTAACATATTATGTTTATTTTATTTGCATTAGTTGTTTGAATCTTCCTATTGTTGTTTAGGTCTGGGATCGATTAGTTCCTTTTGACATATGTGTATTCTGTGCGGATTCCATCGATATTGCATTGTAAGCAGAGATGGGTGGTGGCTAGTAGTGAAATCCAGCTCGCGCGTTCCGTTTTATCTATAACTAGTCGGCTGGGTATACTTGCGTTCCAGAACTGATTTTCACTCCTTGACGTGATATCGAGGGCAATCCACGTAGGATGCACTTATATCAAAACAGACTGATTAATTCCAGTTTTCAATATCAATAAGAAAATCCAAACGACTAGTACAACTTAATAAAAACTTCCCTCACTACACAAGCCAGTGTCTATTTGGACTCAGTAACCAAATAAATAACGCGATGGCATTTAAAGCGAACATTACTGGGTTCGATTTCTGGAGTGAACATCATCTAAGATTCAGATACATCTGGCTGACAAGTCCCAAATATGATAAAACGCGGGTCCTGGATTCCACTGCTAGTTACAGTCCACCTGTTCTTATGATGTTTATATTTGTAATAATGTATTTTGATCAGAATAAACTATTCTATTTGATCACTAAGTTTAAATCATAAATGTACAAGTCTGATGATCATTAATTCGAAACTGTATTCTTCATGTCATCTGTTTTTTAGGTGATAGAAGAAGCCATTGAACTAGCAGTTAAGGAGCACGATTTCGAATTCTGTACAAAAATTTGGATAGGTAAATGATTTATATTTATTTATTTATTTATTTTATTTTAACACATAGATATTGGTACAAGGAGGCACAAAATACATATGCGTCACACAAATCATTTGATATGTGTGAGGGCTGTGATACTGCCCGGGTGCCCAAACCGAAGCAGGTGGTTTTCTTAGGGGGCCACTCCCCGAGCCTTCGACCTAAAGGTCTGATCCACAAGGCAGTGGAGCATCGTAAGGAGATGCAGTCCCATAGAAGCCGGTGACCAACAATTGGGTCATACGCCATTTGTTCCCACAGGATACTGGAGCCCATGTGCACCATTGGTTTGGGATCCGGGTAAAGCGCCGGACATTCGCTTTTCGTCTTCTCATTTTCATAAACAACACCCCCGCGACGAGAAGGCAGTGAGTAGGACTTCCCTGTCAGAGGCTATGTACGCGTGGCCATGTGAGAGCATTTGGAGAGGGAGAGCGGACTCTTCCCACTCTCGGCCGTACCAAGGCATTTGGGGGATATTGCTTTTATTTCTATTGTTTTCACGATTCTTCTATGTGATGAATTATACCTATAGCTATAGTAAAACATACTTTTTGATGTGTTACTCATTAATTTTGTTCATGTTAATGTATATTGGGCTTTGAGGCATATTTTGTGTTTGCGTGTGTATGCGACTTAATAATATTATTGGGTTGCTCAGTTAAAAGTAGGTGAATTGAAATTTGAACTTGTGGTACTTAGTATATATTTGAACTGTATGTAATTGAACACAGTTACTGAATTTGATTTTTTACACAGTATATTTCATAGAAATACTGTTGGATTTTTTTATCATCAGTGTTTTGATTGTCCGTTAATTAACGTTTCCAAACGACAACTTCATAATGACTTCTGAACTGTGCTTAGTTTTATTTGACAAGTATTTATTAAGATTATAGAAAAATTCATCATTAACTTCAATTATTATTTTAGTATGGTTGAAATTTAAGCAAGATGTAAAGTACGTCAATTCTGCTATTATCATAAAGAGTTATATTTTATGCACAACAGAATTGTCACTTGGTGACTTACAGTTGAACCTGCGTGAACGCAAAACAGATGAAAGATTTGTTATTTTGTTATTGCCTAACATATGATTTCTAGATAAGACTTATTATGCTTTTTGTAAATAACTGCTTTAACACTGAAAGTACCTATTTGTTTAATAAAAGATATTATACGTAATGAAAAAAATACGAACTCATTGTTGATACCAATGTGCTGTGTGCTACTGATGTTCATAGATATTAGTATGTATCGTCAATCGAAAGTAAAGTACCTGGCAGCAGAAGGTTAAGTAGATCGAATTAAAGAGAACGAGAACAGAGAATGATTGTTGTGGAAATGAAGGAACCGTAAAGTCTGAGACGATTGATGGACATTTCCAAAGGGAACAGTCAAGTTTGAGGCAGTTGATTAACATTTTGAAAATGAAGTATTTACTGTATGGCTCTCAGATTTTTACTAAAATGTTCTGTAATTTTGTGTCCAAATGCATTCGATTGTCCCCACTCGTGTTCTCGTTCACTGCATCAAGATGAGTGCTGATCTAATGCAATTATCGGATGCCACACGACCGGTGTGTCAACATTTAAACGATATATACTCAAAATAAAAGGTGTTTTGCAATAGGGCTTTATGGTACCAGATTACTATGAAGACCTCTATTTATCCACCTTTTGTTAATAGACATTGATTTCTTTCCTGTAACTATAACAGCAACAATATTTCTTCCTAAGTAGTATTTCCACACATTGGCTGTCTCCTGGTTGATTCCTGCCACTTTTAGTTGATTTTTGTGTCCGTCTCAAGGTTATGTTTTGTCGCGAGGGTTGATTCTCATTCATGTCCACTAAGAAGACATCCTTGAAGTGATTACTTTTTACGGTCCAAAAACATTTCTTTTGCTAAAAGATAATTGTCTTTTATGTAAAGATTTTGGTCTACATAATTTGTCTTATTTATCCTTGTTAATAACAAAAAAGTTTGTCCCACAGGTTACAACATATGTTCTGTTTTATTTTTTAATTCTTTTTACCTTAGAGTCAGCGCATGTTTCACGAGGTCGCATGGTTCCTCGTTTATACAAAGGCTTACGATCTAAAGTGGAGTCGAATAAATTTCATTACACAAATTTGTATATACGTCTTCGAGAAGGTGATCCTCCGAAAATTTATCATCCAAATGATATTAAAGGTGTTTGGACTCCAGCTGCAACATGTCCACCAGAAGGTAGACCTTGGGGCTCAACACGAGAAATGGTACATCGTGAATTGGAAAGATTGCGTGGAAGACGATTAAAAGGAGATTTATAAGTGAATATATAGACATATAGTTTTTGTAAAATACGACAAACTAGTCGAAATTTTCATCTGTACAGAAAACACCTCTTACCATACAAAAGCATTAAATCTTTTCGTCTTATGATGACATGAGTTTTCCTTTGTCGAGTAAAGTAATTTATTAATGGGTCTTATATCATTAGAAAACTCACTATTCCTAAGCCTTAATGGTTTAGATTGTTAATAAACAACCAATAGATGACAATAATAAAAGCACTTAATTACAAACTCTAATCTTCACTGCCTACGTTGTTACTATGGCAATAAGTATCACTACTAGCGTTGATATATACTATATATCGTTTTAGAGATGATGATGATGATTAAGGTGTATTAAATTCCCCACCATGTTATCATTTCATTCGGAAATCTGTTTCTATTTAGTAAGGAGAAAGATACTGTTTATACAATCCAGTTTATTATGTTTTAAAGACATGCTACTGACTGTAATTTTCAAGGTTTATTATATCCGAAACAGTAGTATTATAACGAGTGTATTTTCCAAAGTTTCTCGCCATGACATCTGGATTAATTTTAACTTATAAAATAACAATAAACTAAACAACCAGGGATTATTGTATCGGTTGTTAGTAGTAAAATACAGAAACCATATATCTTGCTAATATACCTCGTACACTGGATATATTCACATTCAATGTGTGCAAGGGATGAATGTTGTAATTAATAGATGCTAGGTTTGAGTACTGATAGAATAATTATCGGTATCTAGTGACGAATAAATCTCAAGCTGGATGAGAAGCACACTTTGTTTTCAACTATTGACCATTTCAAGAGTTGAGAGATATATTCATCAGAGCATCCTCGCAAGAAATTTATATGCTGACTAATGTGTTGGATGAAGTAGGATACGACTATAATGAATAAGAGATTATCGGACTACATTCTTTCCTGGCTCCTGCTTGTACTCTATGTCAATAAATTATTCTGGCCTGCAATTTAGATTTTAGTACTTCGTCGGATATTGTGTAATTGAGCTCATATGATCTAATGTCATAACCCAGTGACCCCTAATTGTTATTATTTAATATCAAGTCCTATTGATCCTAATGGTTTAATTGCCCCCAAATGTCCTGGTATGGCCGAGAGTGGGGTGGGTGCTCTCACACGGCCACTCGTATACAGCCTCTGACAGGGAAGTCCTACTCACTGCCTTCTCGTAGCGGGGGCGTTGTTTACGAAAATGAGAGCACGAAAAGCGAATGTCCGGCGCTTTACCCGGATCCCAAACCAATGGTGCACATGGGCTCCAGTATCCTGTGGGAACAAATGGCGTATGACCCAATTGTTGGTCACCGGCTTCTATGGGACTGCATCTCCTTACGATGCTCCACTGCCTTGTGGATCAGACCTTTAGGTCGAAGGCTCGGGGAGTGGCCCCTAAGAAAACCACCTGCTTCGGTTTGGGCACCCGGGCAGTATCACAGCCCACACACAAATATAATGAAAATGATGATATTTACTGAGAACTCTTTCGCTTCGATTTACAGTCAAACAACTCACATTATTATTATTTTTTACTATGTCATTTATTCACTCTTTTATTCCTACTTTATGTATCCTTATTTTTCGACTGTTACGTAATGAAATTGGGCAAAGCTTGCGTAAAGACCGAGAAGCCCGGTGGTCGGAGCGTGCTAATGAGCTGGAAGCGGCAGCTGCATCTGGTAAGTATGCGGATGATATTGTCTTACTGTGCGATAATGCCCAAGCCACGCAATCCGCACTTAATCAGTTGGAAATCAATGTCCGTACGTACGGTATGTGCTTTGCATCTTCGAAGTGCAAAGTACTTCTACAAGACTGGCAGGACCCTGATCCTGCACTCACCCTGGATGGTGAGAAGATAGAAGTAGTCGAGAAGTTCGTGTATCTAGTTAGCTGTATAAGTGCTGCTGGTGGCGTGAGTGATGAGATCAATTCACGTGTAAAGAAAGCCAGAGCGGATTATGCCAATCTGGGCCATCTTTGGCGCCTTCGTGATGTTAGTCTGGCTGTTAAAGTTCGGATCTACAGCGCGTCGGTGGGAGCAGTTTTGCTTTATGCTTGTGAAACCTGGCCTCTCTGAGTTAAGGATGTCAGACGACTCTGTGTTTGATAATCACAATCTCTGAAGGATTGCTCAGTCAGTCAGTAACAACGTAGAACTTCGTACGTACGTACATCAGTTCGAGTTTCCACACCACATTAGCACAGAGATGCAGTTGTCGATTCAAATCCCGTAGTAGTAGAGGTAGCAAGAGTATAAGCAGTAATCGGGAATATTAGTGTTTGAGGAGAACACAAAGAGTGTATACACCTGCGCCATTGCAAACGATCTTGAGCCATGTCCTTCAGGGTCTCTAACCATCGGTTGCTATCATCTCGCGGTCCCCAACCAGGTAGTCTACACCTACCAACATGACTCAGTCTACTTGTCAGTGACTTCATGGACTTGTGCCATGTTTTGGTTTGGCCGCCCCTAGCTTTCTTCCAACCTACTCCTATACCACTGAACATAGCACGTCGAGGCAGTCGGTCGTTGGGCATACGTAACACGTGTCCCAGCCATCTCAACTGATGAAGTTTCACTACTTCATCAATTGATTTGCCATCCTTACCTAGTACCCGTTTCCTAACAACTGTGTTACTTACTCGATGGTCCCATGATATACGAGCAATGTTTCGAAGACACCTATGATCAAATACTAGTAACCTACGAATATCCTCTACTCTTACCGGCCATGTTTCACTGCCATAAAGTAGGACGGAACGAACTGCTGCGCAGTAAACACGTCCTTTGGTTGATAGACGGATATCTCGCCTACGCCATAAATGACGCAAGTTGGCAAAAGCTAGTCGAGCCTTCTGTATCCGTGCTGAGATTTCGTCACACACCAACCACAAGGGCTGATGAGACTTCCAAGATAAGTGAAGCGGTCGACACACTCAACTACTTCACTCCCTATCACTAGTTCGGGTGTCGATGTAACCCAATCCTGAAGCAACATTTTGCATTTCGAGGGAGAGAATCGCATCCCGAACATGCTTGCATTGTTGCTTAGAGTGGTCAGAAGACTCTGCATTTTGTCAGCGTCTTCACCAAATAAAACTATGTCATCAGCATATTCTAAGTCAACAAGTGAACCTCCCGGTAGAAGTTCAACCCCTGGAAATTTAGATGAGGAGAGTGTTATCTCTAAAAGTACGTCAATGACAAAGTTGAACAAGAATGGGGAGAGTGGACAGCCCTGACGAACACCACTTGAGGTAATCAATTCTGATGACAGTTCGCCATAAGCTCTCACTCTACCAGTTGTGTTCGAGTAGAGAGCCTTTATAAGGTTAATGTACTTCTTTGGTACTCCTTTCAGTGACAAACACTGCCATAGAACCTCACGATCAACAGAGTCGAATGCCGCCTTAAGGTCGAGAAATACTACCATTGTGGGGCGTCTGAATGTGTGTCTGTGTTCTAGAACCTGACGTAGTGTGAATATCTGATCTATACAACCACGTCCAGGTCGAAAACCAGCCTGATTTTCTCTAGTCGTCGAAGTATTATTGAAGCTAATATTTTAGACACTATATTAGTCAAACTGATTCCTCTGTGATTGTCACAAGAGGACTTTTGTCCTTTCTTATAGACTGGCACAATCAGTGATTGAGACCAGTCAGATGGGATTACGTCCAGTTCCCAAATTCTACCTAAGACCTCAGTTAATCTCATTGCTAATACTGGACCACCATCCTTAAAAATCTCAGGAGTAAACCTGTCAGGGCCTGCTGCTCTCCCTCGTTTCAGATTTCCTATGGCTTTTTCAACTTCGTAAAGGGACGGAGGACCTACATTAACTTGCCATTCAGGTTGACTGGAGATCGTGGGAAACCGAAGTGTGGCTGAAGGCCAGTTGAACTGATCCCTAAAGTGTTCTGCCCATCGATCCAATCTCCTGGATTGAGAATGAATAATATGTCCATCTTTCTCTGAGATTGTTTCGCTAACGGTCGGGTTCCTAATTCCGGTTTCCTTAACGAGTCTGAACAATTGTCTGCTATTACCTATTGCCGCTGCCTTTTCCATCTCTCTTGCTTTCGCTACCCACCACTGTTCGCGATCATTGCGTAGACTTCTTGTCAGCTTGCGCTTAAGCTGACTCCGCTCTTCATTATGTTCAGAGCCAGGTGGAATGAGTTTCCGAGCATCTATCAGTGCGATAGATGCTGCTGAGATCCAGTGTTGCTCCCTAACCTTCTGGTTTACCTTACTAGCAGATATCACTGCTGTTTCCACAGCTTTTCGGATATCATTCCATGCTGCATCGGGGTGGGCATCACATACATGGCTGCCTAACTGTTTTCCTAGTTGTTCCTGAAATATACTCTTAGCTTGACTATCATTAAGTAGGGCCCTAAGAGGTTTCCTTGCAGCGTCTTTCCTACGTCCAGTAAGACGCAAGCAAATACGCGCTCGCACTAGAGCATGATCTGAATCTAGGCATGTGCTCCAGAATGAGCGACAGTCTTCTATCGAGCCCCTCCATCGGTGGCTGATAGCGATGTGATCTATTTGGGTCCAACGTTGGGACGAATTAGGGGGTCGCCATGTTAAAAGATGTTTTTCCTTATGCTTAAAGTTAGTATTTGCAAGGAACAGGCGGTTATCTGAGCATAGCTGCAACAGACGGTCGCCATTATCTGTTCTTTGAGCCACGACACCATAAGATCCACCTAGGTGTCTTTCCCTATCGCTTAGTTTACCTACTTGAGCATTAAAGTCACCGGCCACTATTACTACATCCGAGCGCCTAGCTTTTCGGAGAAGGTCCGAAAGCTTTCTGTAAAACTCATCTTTTACATCATCTGAGCTGCAGTCAGTGGGAGAATAGGCAGAGACGACGAAGAGGCAACGACGAGTGTCCCTATCTTTCCGGATTCTTACTGTTCCGTTCAGTCGGACAGCGCACAAACGACTGTCTACTGGGATCCACTCTAAGAGAGCTAGTTCTGCCCTAGGACTCAATGCTATACCTACGCCGGCGAGGCCACGGGAAGCAGAATCAGGGCTTCCAGATACACGAAGCGTAAATCGAGTCGGTTCTTTATTTTGGCATGGTGAGGTCAAATGAATGACGCTGCTCGGATCCTGTATGCGCGTTTCGGAGACGCAGCACACATCGATGGCGCGAGATTCTAAAGTTTTAGCTAAGGAAGCCTGCTGTCCTATTTGGCAAAGTGTTCGTACGTTAAAAGCTCCTACGTGTAGTTTAGAGCGTGGTTTCAGGAGACCAGGAATGGCGTTCCACGTACTCGAATCGTTTGCCCTAGCGGTGCGAGGTGATAAAGAGACGTGAGGAGGGTTAGTCATGGAGATAAGAGAGGTATTAGGAGGTGTAGGAAGGATTTGAATGTGACCAACTTGGTCTCTTGTGCTGTTACGGGTATGAGGGCTGATGTCACTTCCCGGCTGCCCACACCGTGGAAGGGTATTTCTTGAGGAACCTGAAAAGGAAATTGGATTAGTGTTGGTCTTGACGACCTGGGAGCGTGACCGCAGAGCCCAAGGGACAACTGCTTGAGGCCGGTCGCGCACGGCCTTTTTGTGGAAGGTTTTTGACGTGTTAGCTCCGTTCTTCAAAGGGCCTTACCGCCGGAGACGGAAATCCGTGAGGTAAGGTGAGGTGTGGCATTTTTAGGGTCGACCTTTTCTAACCCCACCCCTCCTTGTGGGAAGGCAGCATCGCTGTCATGCTGGTTGTCCGAGGGAAACACCTTACTGCTGTCACACCCCTCCAGTCAGCAGTACGACTTCGCCCTCAGACCTTGAGTTGCTGCTTTTAGTCTTACCGTTCTCCAATCGACCTGCCTGGCATGGTAGAACCTACAGGAACATATGTTCCAGCCAATATAGCTCGGTTGGGTCATCACGATAGGCAAGCCCGACCACCGCGTCAAGGTAGCAGCTTCGGTCGGGTGAAGGATCGCTGGTATCCAGTGGCATCACCATGTTAGTAATGCAGAGTTTTGACACCGTGTGGTTGGGCGCACAGACGATAATGCAATTGGCGTCACCATCTTGAAACACCGACTTCGGTGCTTGAACACGTACTACGAATGTCGCCCCAGAGAATTCCGCGTCGTGCATTATTTGCCGACTCTGGGACTAGTTGGAAAGAGCGGAGAGGTGGTTAGTGTATGACATGGTATCGTGGGATGAAAGAAATCTACAAAGGGCTGGCTTCTGTTGGTCCTTCACGACTCCCTGGCTGGGGTCCTAGAGATGGTTCAACAAAGTGGCTAGAGACGTTATGAGATATGGCTCAGAATAGAAGCCAGTGGCGATCCTGCTGTAACCTTTTACCTTCTTCATAAAAAGTGGTTGTATCTTCCTTAACTGAAAGATTTCTTCTGGTTATACCCTTCCGTTTCCCCCACTATTATTATTGTTATTATTACACTTCCTTACACTAATCTGGTCGTTATTGTTCCTCTTTTTCTTCTTTACGCTCCTTACCTTTTTTTCTCCCCATTTTCATTGTTTTGTGTGGTGCATATATATCTGGTACCCCTTGTACCAATATTTATGTGTTCAAATAAATAAATAAATAAATAATGGTTTACTTATCTCATATCCAATCCTCTAGTGGTAGGATGGCAAGTGCGAGTTTTAGTTTCCTCTATTATTTCACTGATATCTATCAAAAGAATTGTTTTGTATGATCAGCAATTTGGATTTTACAAACGTTTCAAGACTTAAATATTTCTGAACAGGTCTAAACTAGTGTAACACTAACTTCCTATTTCTAACTAGCTTTTGTTGACCAAACTATTACGTGTTATTTCATCTTTAAGTAGATAGTAAATGTTTTACAACTATGAGTCTGTTCGATTGTTTTATTTTGTTCATACTTATACTTTCCTATTTTGATTGTGCTGTTACAGTAATAGACTATTGTTGCAAAACCTAAGTAGTACCACCGTAATACTTTATCTTTCCTATTAAGATGTCTCAGAATTAAATTTGATAGGAAATAAATATGGATGACAGCTCTAATTGTATTTTATTTCATAAAATAAGCTTAAATTACAAATCAGCCTGTAAATATTCATTGAATGATAAAATCATATTATGTGAGTTCGGTTCTGTGCTAATTGTTCGGTAAGTAACTTGGGAATTATGTATGAACACCTTTAAGTTGTGAAACCATGTAAAATCACAAATCAAAATGAAGATTTAGAAATGTACACAACTTTTTGTTCTGATTTCAGTTTGCTTAGCTATTTCACCCTTAAACATATCAGTGGTCAAACGCAGGACCCTAAGGTTGTCGGGTGTGAGTTTACTTTGTAGACCACTGAGCTTTCTTCACTACAAAAACCAAGAAATCGGTAGTGAATCGACTCATAAAAAGGCTGTTGAGTTGAAAATTGAGAACTACTGATACGCTAAATTCCAGTCATATTGATATGTATAGTTTTCAGGTAACAGCAAAAGCATTAGTTACTGATTGAAGAAAAGTGACATCCAATGGGTTCTGAATTGGTTGTCATTCAATAATACAAGATATTAAGAGGCATTTTAAGACAAACAAAGAACTGCTGGTAACAAAGGTCAAGAAAAGGACAAGGTTGTTGGTCTATTGTTGTTCGGTAGTAGTTTAAACGTTATAAAATGGCGAGTTCATTCTGGTTCGTGAAAGTGTATGTTCATACAACCATGTAGTTCATCAGAAAAAATACATCGTCTATTGATAAACCTCTTCACTTATTTGCAAATGTAAATCTTCTACACCACTTGTCGCGAGATGAATTTTCAATAGAAGACTCGGTCAACCGTTTAATGTTGAGACATTAAAATTTAGGGACAATAAGGCGCACTTTTTCATAGATGATGATTGGAGTACTCAAAATACGCATTCATTTTACCGGATTTTAAAGTGTTCAAGATCAATATAATATATATGTTCTAACCACCAACGTGTGAATGTTGGTGGTTAGCAGAAAATCAAATAGGAATTGAAAAGATTGTTTATATGAAAACAATATTTATTTGAAAATTGGTTAAAATAAGACAATCATAAGGAGTACTGGTGAAAAGCTCTCGTTAAAATTTTCTATTATAACAGTTTCAATATGGAAAAAATATCAAGGACATTGTTATCAACGTATTTCGTAAACTACACTGCATTCAAATTAATATTTGTCGCTTATTTTATACTACTTATCCAATTTATAAGTAGAGTCAATCGCCCTGTTTAATAAAACCAACGACCTAATCTATCAGTTCGAAGACATAACAATAAAGATATGGTAGCAAATACGAGGGAGGCAACCAACAACCTACCCTCAGAGAATGCTTATGTGTGTATCAGGAAGTACTGGCGCAGTAGACATGGGCTGAATGGTATGCATGTAATTTGTAAGAGACGGTCTGGTGCAGCAAATACCTTTCTAAGGAAGTGGTCAACATCTACCCTACCAAGTGGGTCAATATTATCTATATGTATGTTATGGGATGCATTGGGTAAAACCTATGTGTTACAGGTCTGCACGGAACGCATCCTCGCTCACAGTGAAGGTATACCTGTATATATACGAAAAAAAATACTTGGATAGAAGTTTGTATGTATGTAGACTAAACTTATCTAGGGTAAGTAAGAACTTCAAGCATCCTTTACTTGCTCTTCTTACGATACACAGATGCACGTAAAGATATGTGCGGCCGCGGTTTCCCACAAAACCACATCCAGGCAGTGAGTTTGTGAGCATTGAGAACATGGAATCCATTCCAGTAGGGACGACTGAGGCCTCACTCGAAAAGGCTTTATCTAACAATCTAGTTGGAACACTGTATCAAGATGAATTGTATTTAGATTAGCGCATAAATTGAGAGATTTCACTAATTGTTTAGAATATCATGGTTTTAAAAAGTAAACTATTGATACTTTCTTTTAGTTTATCACTGGCAGAAACAAAGAAGTTGACTTACAAATATCGCAAAGAATGTACCGAGCATTGAAGCTTAAATAGTCAATAAAGCGGATTCGCTTCGTATATTTGGTATTTCCCAAGAATATCTCAGAGCAAGTTTAAAATAAATATGTACAGGGCGCATAGTGAATTGTGACTTGTTACAAAATCGATTAAACTGGATGAATAACGCGATCCTGTTCTGTATTTTATACATATTTAGTATCACAGTTGGCTGGTCAAGTGCACCGAAATCCTAATCACTGATTCTCATAACGTGTCCTATCATCAGCAATCTTGGCTTAAATCACCGAACTCAACAACTTAAAAATACTATCAATTCAAACTTATTGACTCTATTATTTTAGAGACCATGAGAGTGGATGGTACTCATAAACTGAAGTTGAAACAGAAGCTTCCTAGTAAGCTCATTATTTAAGTGTGAATCAAAGTGTGTCACCCAATAATGAGAGATACATTGTTCACAGCTCCAAATACAAAGTACTACTTAGTCGTAAACGACTTTGGAAGTAACGGCGAATAAACTATCGATGAAATATAGTGAAGCTCCATATTTTTTACAATGGAAGCCAAGATTATTCGATTTAAATTCCTTCTGGTTTTTAAAATCGTATCATTGTATGAAAACCAGTAATAATAAACGAGTCAAAATCATAATTTATCGATGATACTCTAGAAAACCTTTTCTTCAGTGAAAACAAAAGTCAGTTTACCAATAAATAATAAATTAGCAATTTTTGTTCCGTAAATACAGTGTAATATGTACAATAATGCATAAAATTCAGGAGAGAATGTATAAACATATTTATACATACAAAAATAGATGCATAAATTTGCATACTGATAGGCTGGAGAACAAATGAATCCGACAATTCTGAATTATTCAGGCTCCAATAATATGTAAGGATGTTCATCCCAAAACTGATCTTTAATGATATCGATGTTTGCTTGTTCAATGGCAGACTGTTTACAAAATATTGGAGAAAAAATGTGGTAGTAACAATCAACTCTATCACACATTTTAAATAAAAAGAATGTACCATGATACAAAAGGAAAGTAAGTGAGAAGACCATGACAGGTAATTATTGACGTAGACAATTCAGATGACAGTTTACCAGCAGCTCAGTGTGGTTAACATTATTCAAGTGAAGAGTTTTCAACTAAACTGACGCCTTTCTTTTATACGCTATTGAATTACAGATATTGCAAATAAGGTGGCCGTATGGAGATAGTCGACAATAAATCCTGAATCTAAATTTTGTACTACAGGTCACTCTCCAGCAAGGTGTGCCTGTAATCTTGATGGCACTGATGCTCCCTGGTGGGTTCGATTTCGTGTTATCCATTTTCAGTCAGAGATGTCTCTGAGATATTCGGGTCGCAACTGACCCACGGTAGGACTGAGATGCATTTACAACTGATTGATAACTGAGTAATAATCAATGTCATGTATGCCAAGTCCTTCTTACCGTCGACCGGATTCTATAGCTAGAGTTACATGGAGTAATACCGAAATCACAACCTAACATAGAATTTGATATGCACCAGGAAGGACTTAGCATAAATATCATTGGTCACTACTTGGAGATTAATCGATTACGAAGACTACGACAATGACTTTTGACCGATAGAATCATTTGTAAAAAATTCAGCTTAAGTTGGATATCACTAATGAGGACTTGAAGAAAGGTGAATATTTGTTCGATACATTTACAATCAACCTGACTGTTTTTTTTCGAATGAAATGATCATGAACATCAGTTAAACAGTGCCTAATTATGAAGATCAACATAATAGAAATCACATCAATCAAGGCGATTCGTTAGTGAATAAAATAGTGGTTTTATTTTGAAAGTTAAGTTTATCTGTGACCGACACTAGTTATATGGGACAAGCCTCAGCTGCTAAATCATAGTTAATACCTCAGACAATTCTATTGATAAGCACGGACTTCCATCTCTGAAAATGTCTGAACTTGACTAGTTAGAATCCGCCCCTTTCTCACCTAGTTATTTAGAAATACGACGACTTTTCTAAGTTGGAAACTAGGTGTCATTGTTGTTTCTCTAACCTCAGCCTCTTTGATGAGCTTAAATCGCCTCTGTAACATTAGCTTATGCCACTGACTTCATTCGTGCCTTTTGTTGTTAGTCTCTGAAGACCAGATTTTTGTCAGTAATCAATTGTAATGCTTTTGCTTATTGCCGTTTTCGCAGTCCTCAGAAACAGGTTTCAGGACATTCGTGAATTCGGTAGAAGTTTCCGAAATCCAATGATACTTACCAACAAATTATTCTTAATTAATAACACGTGTGTCATAGCAGACTTTTAATTTTACCAGGCTACTTCAAGATAAATACATCCATCATTTCGTGATACGGTATCTCTGAACGAAAGATAGTTATAACGAGTCACAGTCTGTCCGGATAGAGACACAAAGATCATACAACCGAATGGTTCGAATACGTTCGTACACTAAGTATTGTGTGTTTGGACATAAACAGTAGGATTTATCTTAATTGCAGTGGAATATTCTACTTATCCTAAAGTGTAACCATTGTGTTTCTAAGGTCTACATCAATGATATATATATATATATATATATATATATATATATATATATGCCACGCGGTGATTCCTATTACATTGAATCGTTGAAAATATTATTAATTAATAAGCACAAATCATCCCGTCAAGAAATAAGACTACCACAGATTGTATAACCAACTAAGAAATCACTCTGATATCGAGTTAATGGTCAAAACAATGAATCCTAACAGTTTTCTCATTAATATCATGCAGATGAGGGGATAAGAGCAAGTTAATTAATTATTTATAAAAATAAAAACTTTGTATTTCAACTTACATTATTTCTAAATAATACAGTGCCTTTGCGAAATAGTTCTGGTTCATTGTTGTAATTACAGTTGAATTGTGAAAACAATAACTCATTTTGTCACTTGACAACGTTCCCTGTAACAGAGATAAATCAATAGTATATATATAGCTATGGGACTTAATGATTTTTTGACATGATGGCATACTACTTGTTTCGATGTCCATCAGGAGTATCAAACAGACAGGATATAACAAAACACCTATTTTATAGATCATATAGGCCATTCTAATAACAAGTCATGGTTAGAACTAATTACAACCGAAAAAAGTAAAGTGTTACTAGTTTCTTCATAATTTATATTTTCATCCTTGACCAATAAATTCTTAATCTGGTTTTAGTGGAATATTTTGTATTGCTTTGATTCCTTAATATTTTGAGATGAGAATGTCATAGGCTCTATCCTGTGTAAGGGTTGAAGTGCACAATTTCGAGGAGTCCTATCTGTTCAATAACTCTTGGTCTCAAGCAAATCAGCTGAAATCAGTCTATAACCTATCTTCAATTTAAAACAATCTTCTCCAATTTTACTGTCTAAAATTCTTTAAGAGATATTGTGTTTTCTAAACTGGTTTGTTTAGTCATGGATATTTGGTTGTTTTTATATCCGAAAAAATACCATCTTTAAAATCCCTATCTTGAACAATAATTATTCTTCATTATTTAAAATGTGTTTATTAGACATCCCCAAATTCTAATCTCCTGAATCCTTCTTGTCTCTTTTCTCCTCTTTCCAAATTTATTTCACTGGATTATACTCTTACCACCTCTACCACTACGGGATTTGAATCGACAACTGCATCTCTGTGCTAATGTGGTGTGGCAACTCAAACTGATGTACGTACGAAGTTCTACGTTGTTACTGACTGACATTCAGAGATCTTTATACATATTAATTGCATCATTTCAATTACTCTAGTAATTTTAAAAAAATCAACTGATTTGCTGGATAATAAAAATCACATAAATATCGAGTAATTGTAATGTTACACTAATAACAAATGTTCTAAGAATTTACATTTTCGTGATCACGAACACCTCGCAGTATGACTAATCAAAGGTCTGGTGAAAAAAGTAAACAGCTCGATAATAGCCCATTTAATGCAAACTGGTCATAGTGCCAGTGTAAACTAATCCTTTTCAATTATTTATCGAGTCAGTAATATTTTTTCAAAGCTTTACAAATTTAAAGTCCTTCAAACGGGTGAAGTTATGCGTACAAAAGGAATATCTTCAACCTCTTCTCCTTCTATGATCAACCTTAAGGCCAATTAATTCATAGTAATCTTAGTTACTGAATGACCTAATTTGGCTACTGTACTTACGACCTTTCGTAGTCAAATATAATTGACAGAAGGGGTTTGTGGAGATTTTAGAAATTTCACAGATTGAAATCATGAGTCAGTTGAAGCTAGACCACCATTGAAAACCTGGAGGCACTGGACGGCCGTTTCGTCCTAGTATGGAACTCCTCAGCAGTGCGCATCCACGATCCCGCGCTCCACGGGATTCGAACCCAGGACCTACTGGTTTCGCGCGCGAACACTTAACCATACTAGTATGAAACGGCGGTCCAGTGCTTCCAGGTTTTCCATGGTGGTCCAGCTTCAACCGACTCATGGTTTCAATCTGTGAAATATAATTGTCTCTGTTATCTTTATTCACAAATCCTTCTATTATTATTATTACTGGTTAAGCATAATTATTGATCTTCTCAATAAATGATTCATTTACTTCGTATTCATTTCACTTTATTATGTCTTACTAATAATTTTTTACACAATTTAGTCTTCCATTAAACAGTTGATCAAATTGTAATTGCATTATTATTTCTCACATTCTATCTGATCCATTATTTATTCTGATCGCGGATCATAAAATTTTCACTTAACATATAAGCTGATCTAAGTTAACATTCTATGTGAATCACATATTAACAATTTTATTCTATTTTATTTGACAATCGTGAATTCACATGTTATCATAACTTGAAATGATGCATTTTCCCCTTAATCTGATCATTTTACAGATTATTAATTAAGATATACAATTGTAGAACCTAAAGAGAATTTATCTTCTTTTATATTCTTCATTCAAATATTAATCTTTGTATATGATAAGGATCGTTAAACAATTAAAATGTTATTTTTTTTTGTTTTAAAAATTTATGCGAAATACTCATTATTTAAACATCATTCACAATTTCAAATTTATGCGCATTTTTTTTGTTGTTGTTGTTGTCTATTTAAGTTCTAATAACACAAGCTTTGAATAGATGTTCTATTGATTAATGAATGAAGGAATGAATGATATGTGATTAAGTTTATCTGCGATTTTGATATCAGTAATTGAATAAATTAAGATTAACATTATTATATACTCCCCCCTTTTTTTAAAAAAAAATCAATAAAAAAAACCTGATTAAATTTACATTAAGAAAAAAAAAACAAAGTGATTTGTATTTAAACGTCATTGATTTTTTTTTCAAAATTTATTTTTTACAGTCTATGAAAACAAATTAAGAAGTGTAAATGAAATTTGGATAGAAATGATAATGTTTAAAATTAAATAACTTGAAGCAATTTTATAATCATTAAGTTGATAGATTTCTTGAATTGAACTGATTTAGACCACCATTGAAAGTCTGGAAACATTGGATAGCCGTTTTGTTCTAATATGGGACTCCTCAGAAACGGGCATTCATGATCCTATACAGAAAACACTTTAACGCAGGACCTTCGGTCTCTCATGAGAACAATTAACCTTTAGACCACTGAGCTAGCTGGTATCCAACGGTTTTAATATCTAACTTAAACTAATCCATGATATTGCGTGACCATCCACCATTATCTTCAGTGAATAACTGTCTCACAACAGACACGGTTGAACTTCACGACTTCCCACCAGATCTTCAGGAAATCCATTTTGAAACCCATCACTAGTGAGCACATGATTATTATTATTAGAATGGGGGTTTGTGGAGATTGTAGACTGAAGGTCTTGGGTTCGAGTCCCATGTGTGGGATCGTGGATGTGTACTGCTGAGGAGTCTCGTACTAGGATGAAATATCCGTCCAGTGCTACTAGGTTTTCAATGGTGGTCTAGCTTTAATCGACTCATAAATCCAACTATTAACATTACTACAATCTCCACAAACCCCTATTCTGATGATGGATTTCTGTTGCTTTGATTATGAAGTGAAAATTTTTTAATTTCAAATATTAGTTTACAAGTTCAAGTATAGCATCTCTCATCTATTTCAATTTTGACAGTCAGGTAATATCGCTAGACCTCATCATACTAAGACTGTGGTTCAAAGCCAAATACACAAATATGTACATAGTAAATCAGTTAGGAAAATACACCCGGCGATAAACATTTGACTGAGAGTCAGAAAACATGATAATAAAAGCAACACTAATAATTATTAATATAAGGTTGTGAAGATTGTTGAATTTCTAGTTTATACACGATGAGTGTACAATTACACTGAATAAAAGAACTAATGATTTTATCCGTTTTAATATGGATTGTAATGATATTCAATCATTTCATGAATTAATGCCATCCAACGAATTATTTACACCAATTTTATGCAAAGTCAACGATAGATTATTAGGATAGAACATCGTTTAGTATGAGTAAAGTATACTCCAATCCTCCATTTTACCAGAAACATTCATTCTTAAGCTCTATCGATTAAAAAAAAGTTGCCTCAAGTGACTCATCACAAAACTAACATGATGATTTTAAGTAATGAAATTCACTGATTGTCATGTGGAAACTAAAAATAACGATAAATCGACTAGTAATTTATATTTGTTTCACTGAGTAACGAGAATATCATAAAGCTACAAACAGTCTATACCAGTTAGAAAAACTTATTTATTTAGTAGAAATACATTTTTAAATAAACATGAAAACGATGTATAAAAATGTTGATAGGCCAGGATAGATTAGTTCAAGGACAAATAAAATAATGATTTAGCATATAAGATATCAGCAAATTGAAGTCCTCAATTTCAATTTAGTTACTTCCTGTCGGAAATGAACATCAATGATCAAATCTATATGTCAGAGTTTCATGTTATCTGATATCAGCAGTCATGCTTTTTAGGTATGTTGTAAAATACAACATCCTGTCTTACCGTCAACTCCTTCACATAAACATAACCAATAGAGGCCATAGTTTATTTGAGCTGATTGTTTGGTAAAAAACTTTCGCTGATAAAACTTGATGATGCGATTATTTTATGGGAATTAAAAATCGTCAAGCGCACTGTACTGTTATTCCTGAGTGTATAAACATGGTGAGATAGGTGTTATGATCTGCACTTCGGTCACAACCTACAATGAATATAGCCTAAACAATTTGCTTAATTGAACAATCTAATCATAGAAGGATAATTAAGTGAAATGTTTACTCTAATATGAAAGATAACATCTATTCTGTATGTAGATTATGAAACTGACAAATAATTTAATCAGTTTCTAACTGGTAGATAACAAATGAACTAGACAAGATTTAACAAGTTACACTGTATCTCAAGATTCTATGGTAAGTCATACATAAGCTTCGGTGAAATAATAGATCATCCATCTAATCGAGGTCATCATCAATCTCATAAGTTCATGTCAAAATCAATCTGTTTAGCGATAGGTACAATACCAGCTCTAAGTTTATTTCACTCAATAATGTAACCGCTTCCAACCCAATACATTGTTTCCTTCTTATTGATTACCTTGGTCAATAGTTAATAGTTAAATCACACTTTAGGTGGTAACGCATTAATCGATAAACTAACCATTTGACGATAAATGCTAAAAATAATTGTAAACGTTATAGAAACAACTTTCTCTTAAATTATTTTGTAAAAAGAAAATTCCAGGGTAGGTTATAAACTGTTTACATATAATAAATGTGGTATTAATGAACACATTGATCCGTTATCTATCACATTTCGGAATAACTATGATTGATTATTACTGAAGTTCATTTATTCAATGACAGAAAGTTGTGTAGAATGTACTTATAGCTCAATTTTAACAATCATAGTGTTCAATAATATTGTTACG